ATCACAAGAGGTATACAAACCACTCCAGCGACGTTAACGGGTACCTGCCCAAGTTAATGAGTTGTTCGAGTGTTATGCTAATTACTGACGCATTACACGGTTATTCGATAGTAACCACTATACGTCGAACCTTAACGGGTGCTTCGCATTACAGCGTGTAGTTTTTATCAATAGTATGAAGTTATTACGGTGACATATTATATTTTTTCGGTGTGATAATTTTAGTAATTTTGTAATTTTACAGTTTTGGGTATTCCTGCTAACGGTGGATTTAATAAAACAATAAATGGCAATACGATGGCAGTTTTTTTTTGCACTGTTGCGTAGTTCACCAACATTGATATCGTTTACCTATAAGGTCTTTTTTATGATTTTACATTACGCAGCACCGTTCGACGTTTTCGACAGTACTTTCGATAGAAAAACAAAAAAAAACGTGTTTACATCTTTTTATCGACCAAGATAAATTTAATAATTATTTTATGTATTATTATATTTCGGAAAAAAATTAAGATAGGCGAATGAATTAGCTGTTCATACATTTGGTATCTTATTGAACCTTCGTTGTAATGACATCATTGAATATCGGGGCATATGACTAGACTAATCTCAGACAAACTTATTAACATATGTAGCAACTCCATATTGACTCGGCGACATTTTTCTTTTATTAAGCCCACATGATTAAAATTTGATAAATTTTTCCAGGACAAAATTACTGAAATTCTACAGTTAAAAAAACTAAAATACAATAAGAATTTATAATAAACAAGTTTTTGGTATATTGAACTAACCATACGAAAAGAAAAAAAAGTTTCGTTATAACTTTGTCACAGCTCGCTTTAAAAGACCTCTTTCAGATAAGATTAACAAAATAAGCAATGCAATACTAATTTAGCTAGATAATATCAAACGTTGACTTACAAATGGACGTGTAAATATCCGATAAACTAATTTTAAAGGTGACGTTAGGCGTAATTACTACCTTTTAGAGATTCGCCCTTTGCTTTATTTAGAAATTTCTTCTCGTTAGTGGGACAAACACAGGGCAAGGTCTGTTTACTTGTCAAAAATCATTTGATGAAAACCTCCGGTACTTAGTACTATATAAAACGTAGCGATGAAAGAGGACCTAAAGAAACCGAAAAGATTCTTTTGTACATATTTTTTGGATTGACAAATTTTAGAAGCGGTGCGATAACAAATGATAATTAAAGAGTAGAACTAGTATCACATGAAATTGAATTCTTGGTAGAAATTTTCGACAAACATCAGTGATCCGATATGATATCATAGCTGTTGTGTCCGACGAAACTGGTCAATTGTTTCAGATTTGTTATTGTGGTTTTCGCCTACATTGATTGATTGGATTGACGGCACGGACAACGGAACCCGACTCCGATGCTAGGTTGGTGATATTTTCGTGTCTCAACTCAATGAATTTCGCTGTAGTTTGGTAACAAAATTACGTTTGTAATACAACGCTCAGAGATATATATAGAAAATGTTTACCACAAGATGGAGCAAATGTACCAAGTCACGCATAATGTTTTGCAAAAAAGAGTAGCGATATATTTCGAGAATTTTCTGTATTTTAGGTAGCGAGGAAGACTGGTCGATATCATATCTTATATCGCGATAGTAGGATATGATTATAGTTTTTGTAAAAGAGTAATTAAAAACTTATCCTTAATGGTTCGTGGGACGTACAATCCGAACAGGAACGTGTCTTGGTCGCGTCGAGAGATCCTCGCGGCGTAATGATGTGTGAATGCTATATCGATATCGATATATTGGCAGGATTGACCGCCGCGACGTTGCGGACGGGGAACGCGTCGATCCAGACTTGTTAGATCGTGCGGTGCGGCTTCTCCAGCTGCAGAATCTTGACCGCATTTACTCCTACCACACCCGGCCAAGGTACGACTATCGATGTTTCCCGTTCCCATCCCTACCGTCGGAGCCAGCGGCCCTTCCAGCACGTTCGGTGTTCTCCCGCATGACTACGTACTCTATCCCTTTTCTGAATGTTAGACGATGCTCTTCTTTTTATCATATCGGTGTTACTAGGTTGTTGTCAATTGGATAATGCATTTAATCGTATTACTAGTAGCCAATGTATGCTTTTGTACTTATATTTTATTTATTTCCATTATCGTTATTTATACCTCTGGAGGTGGATTAAGGTTATAGTCTGAAAACAATAATAGATAATGACACTCTTATAATGAAACTCTGCTTCGGCGATGGTATCGATAAGGAACTCATTATTTTATATAGGCATCAAAATAAATAACCGAAGATAAAATCTTATATACAAAATATGGGAATACACGTTCTAAAACATATGAATATACACATAAATGATGAATTGTTTATTTTCAGTCTAATATGAAAAATTATCAGTCTAATATTACAGATTATTGTACGTCTTTTGTCATTAAAATTAAAAGCATAACTTCCCATCTTGCTTGAAATAATGACATATTCAATTGATATCTTTAAAATTTTATTAAAATTAAATTTTATTTGTAATAACAAAGTAAAATTTCAGGCTTAAGCTTATTCATAAAACAACATATCGTTAAATTTCACAGTGCTTTTATGACTATTTGATTGTTTATTTTTCATTGAACCTCTGCTCATTTCAACGAGATGTTTATTTCTTCGCTTCTATTTTAGCTGGGACTATCAAAATTCTTGACTTGATGCCTCTGTTTATGCTCAAGAGATGTTTAATCAAGATGAAAATAGGATACTTTGAATGGTTCATTTCAACTTTATTAGTGAAATACGTCAATTATAACATAATTATGTGTAAAAAGTAGATGTGCTCCTAAATGTTATGCTTATAATATGTATTATTATAATTTCTACGACATTTACTCAGATATCTTGGTTATAGTGGTTATTACAAGTTTTGAATGTACGCTACCTATGCTATGTTTCAAACAAATTTAGGTGCATAATGATATTGACCATTGTTGCATAGAATGATACTCAGATATGTTTATCCCAGTCCACAAAACTTGATGCGCCCCACAGATGTGTATCAGGGGAGTTGAGTTTTGACATATTAATGCAAATACTCTTTGTGTTATTTGCGCTTCATGTGTTTTGATTACATTTATACTTAGTTACGTGAATGCGTAAGGCCAAGCTTGGCAACGGTGAAAACACATCTAAATATTTTCTAATTTCAGCTACATTATAAATAAAGGAAAGTGTCTCAAAGATTTGCGATCTTTCCTTTTAGAGAGTTGAAGTATCTGTTAAAAGATATTCTTTGTGTCGCAAAAATAAGTGTTTTTATTAACATCATTTTATGAGATTAGAGCCAGGGAGAGACTTTCATTTATCTGCCTCACAAGACGTAATATAAAATTCCTTGTAATTTGGTTGAATGAATGAATTATTTAACATCTTTAGATGCTAAGTAGCGAACCATTATTAGTCTTTTATTAAATTGAAGCTGATAATGAAATGAAAGGGAATTACAAGAGAAAATTTACGTTGCAAAAGAAAAAAAATTATGAGTGGATAATTTCAAACATTTCTGTCAATTTCTTTCAACGTTATATTACATACATTTGTTCATTTGAAGATTTCATGGTTCGCCTTTCTATCAAAGAATTTTGAATCGAAACTCGTCTCCTATAATTGTGCTTTTTTTAAAGACATCAAGTACAGTTGCAAACCATTATGAAAAATTTGGACCTCTCATTTAAGTACCTACTTCAAACCATATTTGAGACAAGTACCTTGAGAAATTTAAACTGTACCAGTTTTTGCGTAACATTCCTGAAAAACCTTTAACCTAACATTGACAAACCAAAAATAAATTTTTATCTGGGATGTATTTTTGCACTGCAAAGAAAGTAGTTTTTTCGTAAAAGGTTTTATGACAGTCGTTTTTTAATTTTTTTTTGTTGGGACCAAAATTAAACGTGAAAATCCGTAAAAAGGATTTTCCTTTAATAATGTTTACTACTAGCGGAAACACAACAAATCGTTACCCTTAAGCTTAAAATCGTATTAATAATTACATCACTGCAGAAAAATCGCAGTAATTAATATTAACATTCATGCTTTTCAGTTACTAATGTATTGGCTCTTCATTGATGAGTCAATCAAATAACGATATGATAGAAATGTAAAATCCTATGTTATTTTCATTTAAAAGCGTAAAGTATGATGAAATATTGATATAGTATGATAAGGTATTTATGAACGGAAAAAGGAATCTCATTTCATGAGATTTGTTTATGATTCATGTCCTAGATTGCCTAGCGACAAATCAACATAACAAAATATTTTATCAAAGGATGAGATATACTACTTGAAATAATTTCAAAATGTAACCTTTATGTTATTGTTATAGAAAAGAGATTTTCTATTATAAAATTTGCGATGAAGTGTCCTCACATAATGAAGAAGCGATTTATATAATAACTAGCGGACCCAACAGACGTTGTCCTGTACACACGACTTAAATCTGATAACTTAAAAAAAATTGTGAACCTAAACCATTCTCGAATCGACCTGAAGTCATACAAAAAATCGGTCCAGTCGTTTAGGAGTTCAGTGACTTACACACGTACAGTAGAATTATATCCTATATGCACAAATATTTTATAAGAAATTTTGTTCATCACGTGCTCAACAGTGAAAGAAAACATAGCAAGGCAATATTTTTGTGGTAATAATTTAGAAAAATATTCCCAAGTTTGCCAATCCGCAGATGCGTGATGGACTATGTTCCGATTTACAGGAGGTCTTTGCCCAGCAGTGGAGTATATAAATATACACTGTTACTTTATTGTTTATGTACTTTTAATTTACACTATATAGTAAAAACGGAATAAAATGATGGTCGAAATTTCCATATATGCTAATAAAATTACAATAACTGTAGTAAAATCATTGTTTTTTTGTTGTTAATTTACAAATACATGTTGTCTTTTCTTTTTGCTGATAAATTTATTTTTCGTTGTTCACAGGTTTGGTAAACGCTCCGATGCCTTCGCAAACTGGGTTAAGGATTTGGAAGTAAGTTTTATTATAAAAAAAAAATCAGTTTATCTCCAAGTAGGACTTGTTAGGGCCTTAAAAAGGACACATATTTAGATATTATCAATTAAAAAAATAATAATAATAATAATAAGGCAGTGAATAATTCATGGCCTGCAGGCTGCTGATTCGAATTTTCCACCACCAGTCGCAAGTTTGTGTTCCCAACTAGGCTCTCAATTCCTTTTGAAGTTATTAGATATTACACGAAATATTTATCCCAGAAAATCTTCGTTTATTCTTCAAATTATATCAATTTTTAGTAAACTCATATCATATTATACCTTAACGTTGGCTATTAAGCAAATCCATTGTTGCCTTGATAGAATTAGGCCGTCGATAGTGTTTTATTGCTATTTTATGGTCGTATTAATCGTTTTAGTTATATCAACTGTATTGTCTCAATGTGTAAGAATAAACTGGGAAGTAATAAACAGTGTAGCTTTCGATGAAAATATCACACATTATATTGTTATTATAGCAGTTTTCAAGTGGGTATACTGAACGTTTATGTATCGTGTGTATTTATATCATGTGGGCCCCCGGGTTTCCAGACGGTTATCTATCTGTATATAATACATTGCCACACATGTAGGCATGCACTAGCTTTCAGGAACTCTTAAAGCGATTTGTTCTGTTCTGCTTAGTATTTGTAATATGGTTTACAGCAAGAACAAAGTTCACAGAGGGATGATTCTTTTTATCTGAACATATGTCATAATAATAATGCTAATATCCTTATGCCGTATTTGGCTTAGGTACGTAATCCCTCAGAATTATTTTTTTATTTACTTATTTATTTATTCTTCATTCTGAACAAAAAAATTACAGACGTTGACTTAATGCCATCAGAAACCTCTGAGTTTTAGGAGTAACATGTTCGTTGAACAGAAATCAGAGTGAGAGAGCTTTTTGACATAAATTGCTATGCCTAAACTCACCACATAAAACAGGCTTTTTTATTTTAATTCTTGGATCAAAGTTAAAAAGCCTGTTTTAATCTACGGATATATCGTCATTTACCAGTAGGTGGTAAAGAACTAGGCAGATCTTAATACAATAAAGATCGTAACCCGTGGAGTCATATCGGAAACCAACATTTCAGTCAATATTTCACTTCATTCACTTAAATGCTAATGTGGCAATTTTGTAAGTATTCATAAACGATAGGATGTGTAACTATCGTCTATCGTATTGAATTTCATAACACGGCCGTAAATTTCCAAGCGTAAAGTCGTGACTGTAAAATGCAATAATATGAAACCGCCTTGAATATTGCGCCAATATTCTAGCTCCGTATCGCATATGGACGCTAGGATTTACGCCCGTCGTTTATGATTTTATATTGGGTATTCTGTCATAATTGGACTAAGCCTGGAGTACATCGAAGTTATTTAGCTAAGGTACAGCCATTCGTGGCCTTATAATCGTAGTTATTACTAAAAAGTTTTTTAACAAAAAAAGAACCGACTTCAAATAAAATGATGTACGTAACTATTACAACGTTACATGCAAATCAATGCATATTTATGCGATAGCAGCAATCACGGTTGATTTCCTATCATATTTCGATGAGTTCCGTTGCTTTCTCCGAAAATCATCATCAAATCTATATGAAATTTATATGGGACCATTAAGGAATGAAACCGTTTCGAACCAAAAAAGAATTTTTCAAATCCATATATGTATCTATATATGACAAAGTTATGCCCGAACATACATAAAAAATATATAAAGATCCGAATTGATAACGTCCTTCTTTTTTAAATCGGTTAAAAAACATACTTCTAACCAAAAATTTCCAAGAAATGTGTACGGTAATTACAAAAACCATGTGTAACCTAAGTAAGTCGCAAGAAATATAACGACCAATAGTACATGTATACGTTAAAGGTATATTAAGTGTTAGTGAGCTCCTTTCTATAGCTCCTGTCTAATTGTTTTGTTTGGGCAATAATGTCGTATCATTTATTTCGTTGTCTATTTGTGGCCAACGCTGTGACAACACGTAGACAAAGCTTGACTACAATCATACCTAATGGAACGAAATTCCGTAGGAAATACGTTTTAATGAAGCAATAGGGTAGGTAGTCGGTAGTCTTGTTTACCCTTGGTTATAAGCCACAGCGTAATTATTTGGAGTTCGTGTATCATACACATTTTTTCATGTTTGCTGTACATATTATGAACGATGAGACAAACAGTGTGCCACGCAACAGTCTGGGAAGACCACACAGAAGACCGGAGTGAAGTGGGAATATTACACTTCTACGTATCGTCTGGTTAGTGAGGTAACCGGTGACAACTTTATTAAACGGTGGCAACGCATCTGCAACCCCAAGGGTGTTGCAAATGTCCGTGGGCGGCTGTTATCACTTAGAATCAGGTGTACCGCCAGCTTATTCGCCACATTTTCTCAATAAAAAAAATTTAGGATGCGGGTAACGTCGACAGCAAAAATCGTTTGACCGATAAAGTTATTATTATTTTCATATGAACGCGCAAGTATGATTTTTATTCAACGAATCTTTTGGCCGATTTCAGACTAGTTTGCTATTGTTGCTTAAAAGATGTTCCCTATAGAATTTCTTTACAAAATTTGACCCGATTTATTGTTAAATTCATATAAAAATAAAATTTGCAAGACAATAATATACTGTTCTCGAAAGATTCACATATTTTTTATACCAGAATAGGTAAAAAAAAATACATTTGATTCACGTGTCGTTAAGTTTCTAACGGTTCCCGGAGAGCTCGAATGACTTGTATTAATATTACTAAAACATTTTTGAGGTTAAATGTTATGCCCGCAACCCTCATCTGACCGAAAAAGATGTGCAAAGTAATCAGTTCAAGGTTACTTACTGTATGGCGGTTAAAATAGTTTTGTTTTTCATTTTCAGAAGCCGGACCTGCCGACTTGGTTGACTTACGCCAGGAGGAGATGAGAGGTGCAACCGTATCGGCGCCATCCCTAAACAGTCTATTAAAAATTTCAACCTATACGTCAATGCACCGGACCCAAAAGCTAATTTTGCATCTAAGAGATATTTGTCCCCTCGCCTTTAGATTTTTCTATGTAATAGCTGATTTAGATAAGAAGTAGGGTTCAAGTTGTCTGTTCATTTTAGTATTACTTTAATAGTTTTTTTGTCAGTTTTCGTTATAGGTTTTATAATTATTTCTTCGAACTAATTCAGCGTTAAGAACGAACATATCTGACTCTTAGACATTGTTCGAAATATATATCCATTTTAGAAAAAAAATCAATGGTATTTATAGTGTGGATTGTAGACATGTGGCTAACTAAAGTATACTTATTTGGATTAAATATCATTGTAATGTTATGGATAAATAAAAGCAAATGAGAAAAAGTATTGGGAATTTGTTGTTTTCATTGTGATCCATATACTAATATCATAAAAAGAAACATAATTATTAGAAATAAAATTAACAAAAGCTTTCGTAAGTGTACGTCCGAAGTGAAAGTTAAATTAATCGATAAAGTAACAATAATTTAACCAAGGCCTCCACCGGAAAAATGTCAGATTTTTAAATAAATATTAGGCATACATATCTCATCTATTATTAAGGATCCACCCAGGATTAACAACATTTATACGAAATATATATACAGCGTGTCTTTACAATCGCGACAATAAATTAATATTATCTTATCCTTTAAACGAGCAATTCTTGTATATATATATAATCCGAATCTCGGAAACGGCTCCAGCGATTTTTATGAAATTTAGTATGTGCGTAGATTCGGGGGCGAAAAATCGATCTAGCTAGGTTTCATTTTTAGAAAATGTCCTTTTATCCCTGTTTTCGGTGAATGAAAAATATCATTCCAATATGATGGTAAATTTCGCCGCAAGAGAAAATGTCATAATAGCTCGGTCGGTAATCGGGCGGCCCCAAAACAGACGGCCGTAGTTGGCGTCACGATCATTTACACATTTATTTTTTTACTTTTTTTTCGATTCCAGATCATTGCTTTGTTTACTTTTAATTTTTTGTCGATTTGTTATTTTGTTATTTTTTTCCCTTTTTTTAAAGTTCTTTCTTTTGTGAAAAAACATCAGTTCATATTTTCTTATTATTACGTCGGTAAGATCGAAAAATATTATGCATATTTCATTACTCAGTAATTTGTATCTAAATGTAATTTCCAAAATACACGATTTACCAAAAAAAACAAACCGAGCAAAGCTCGGTCCTCCGGGTATATATATATATATATATATATTTGATTCGAAGGTACCTATTTCACACGCTATTTGAAAACATAAACGTTCAGAACGTCTAAAAATAGATTAAGAATATGTGTGTTATTTGAACAGACTATAAGTAGATACATAAATCAAGAACACACTTTATACACACACACACACACACATGCACGCACTTCTGTCTTTGCCACAAATCTAAAACGTAGCTGTTGTTTTTGGTAAAAGGGAATATTAACAATTAAAATAATGAAAGAAATATTTGGATATATATATTATATATTGATAGTAAGTGAAACAGAATTTGATCTATGATTTTTGTTATCCTGTGTATGTTCATTTATTTTAAAACGTTTACTTGTATAATTCATTTACCAGTCGGGAATCACCCGTCAAGAGGTAAAACTTAGTACCAAGTAGTTTAGAACAATTATAAGACGTGTACTAAGGAAAATGTATTAATTGCATAAATTTATTAAAGGGTTTCTGATAATCGTAAACATATATTATTTTCAACATAATGTCATTTCAACCAAGTTTTAAGAAAATATAATATAGGGATGAAATTAAACGGGGAGCATCCCATCCTGATTCATATATTTTTTTTTAAATGTGTGTATTTAATGTTTTATAAACTAAACGTAAACTTTGATCTTTACATCATCATTTATCCTATTATAACATAAATTTCATCTTTATATGAAAAGAAATTTCAGCAGAAAAGAAACCTACATACGCAGTTCGCAACATACTGGTATATTATAATAGTAAAATATAAGTCAAGGGGAGAGGTAACAATAAAAAACTCCTTTTTTGGTATAATTTTATCCGACCTATTAATTATTTCATCAGTACATCGAGCTTAAGTAAAACTAGCTTATATTAAGCAAAAATGTTATTAATTCAAACATATTTATTACAACGGAGAGGCGTGACCCGTCCGCAAAACATTACATTTTAAATTGACAAGAATCTTCAGCATAAGCACCTAGTTTATACAACCGTACACTTACACATATTACATGTTAGATGACTTATTATAATAACTTTTATTAAAATAATTATTCCAATCTCCCCAAAAAGATCTAATTTTTCGACAAAATATTTGACTTAAACAGGAAAACTTGATATTAATATAATATTAAATAAGACAGTAGGTTTCATTACAATAAACAGACATAATTTTTCAAAATTTAGACTTTAATAGTTTTCAAAATTTTAAACTTTAAACATGTACTAGAACATCACGAACGAAAAGAATTAAAGATTAAAATCAAATTAAAATGCACAAATAAGATGGAATAGCTACTAAATTAAAAAATGATGAACTGATTTTTCAAATTTAATATGTATTGAAAAAGAGTAGATAGATAGGTACTTTAATAATAGGTATTTTAATAATACTTAATTTATACATACGACGCTAAAATTACTAGGTACCCTAAAGTTTAACATAAATGTGAAATTGTAAATCGGAGGTGCGGGCTTCGAAACCCTTTTTTATGTTAACAATTGACTCAATATTTTATTTTGATCGTGATTTCTAGATTTGATGATATTTTGTTATGATGTTAATATTTAAATTGTCTTCTGGATATCTGAAAAACTCTAAGGTGCGATGGCAATTGAATTAAGATGAAAGGTAGTTGATTTACAATTTCGGATAAAACACAATCTTCTAGACAGCTACAGTAAGAGTAAGAAACTACAATTTACAGAAGACGATAGACGGATGGAAATTCTGGGGGCAATTAGCATTACTTTTATCTAAAAGATCTAGATTTAGACGCTAGAGGATTAAACACTTACTAAGAAGATAGAATAGGGTTAAAAGAGTATGTAATTGATACATTTTTGGCAACTTTTGAAATTATGTATGTACACATATCTAAATACATTTTTAATTAATGAAATTTTAAGATTACTTATGTATCAGCTAACTTAACAACCATTTCTTATTTTGGTGATGGCTTTTTATTGGATTTCGAACAAAAAAGTGTAAAATTTATAAATTAATCCAGCAACACAGAACGTATTTGGCACTCTACTCGTATTCATAATATGTTAATGTATTAATTTTTCCTAGCCGAAGACTATAATTTACATAAATACTACAAAGCCAGTAGGGATACTGTTCTGAACTACGATTCATTAATGAATTTAAAGTCTATCGTTTATATTCGTAATTACCTAAAGGCTTTGAGCAATAAGATGAATGTTCAAATATTAAGTCACAGCACATTTATTATACTTTAGCTTCGTTAGAAGCTTAAGATAAATTATATACAGGGCTCTTACATCAATATTTGTTATAAATGGTTTAAACAAAAGTGTTTGATTAACCAACTATTTATGATCGAGTTTTGCTGTAAACATTGTGAAGAAATTTGAAGTTGTTACAAAAATATTCACTGAAGTCTTTCGGCCTTAAAAATATACAATAGTTACGTTTATAATGAATGATTATCATTTTGCATCGTCAGATTCGACAAAACGTTTAACCTGTTATTCACCTGAAGATTATCTTCAATTTTCGGCAGTTCAGAATCTGTACCTTCTTTCAGAAGATCCCAAAGATGGTTTTTGTCTAGAACTTCATATCCCCCTCTGTTTTCTGGGGCTATGTCAGATTTGACCGAATCAGTAAGAGCTTTCGATGTCTCCGATATTGGTGTTGGTGGTATTTTATGTATTTCTTTGTTTATTGACTTCACAGTTTTTGTTGCAGTTTTTTCTTTGGGCGACTTAATAATAGATTTGGGAATTTTTCCTATTGTTTTATTCTTTTCATTAAAGTTAGTAGCGATAGTATTATTTGAAATCACCTTTATATATGGTTTCTTTATTTGTGTTATGATTTTAGGCTTTTTTGTTTTATAATGCATCGTTTGAATATTGCTTTTAGTTATCGCAGCAATAGTGTGAGGTATAATAGTTGTCCTCTTATGTGCGATGAGTATAGTATTTGAAATATTTTCGCCCAAATTTTTCGATGAATCATTTTTCAATATAAATATATTTGTATCATTGCCTTCTTTGACAGTATTATTGTAAAACGTTACATTAAGATCTCGCGTTTTGTTATTTTCTGAAAACTTCTGTATAGATAAATTTTCTTCTTTTAGTATTTTAATAGTAACATGACGAGGGGTACCAGATGTTGTGCTATTATCGTATCTCGGTTTGACAAAAAACTTTTCTTGTTTATCTCCATAGGTAGCTTTAAGAGTTCCTTTCCGCCTGGGGAACACTTTTTTCTTAGTTTCATCTTTTTTTGGATAATATTTTGGTGACTTTGGTGCTATTACTTCAGTATGAGTGGTTTTCAAACTATTATCAACTTTTTGATTATCAACTAATGTGTTTAACGGGGTATTTGTTACTTCGCCATTATCATTTTTTACGCTATCATTAGAAAGAGCGAGAACAGTTTTTAATGTTTTTCTGTTTGATTCGCTAGCATTAAGTATATGAAGAGATACAGGTGCATCTGTACTAGTTGCTATATCAACAGTAACGACCGGTGTGGTCGTCGAGTCACTGTACTTAATATCTGACACTGTAACGATCTCGATTATTTCGGCATGGCTGTCATTTGTTTGCAAGTTCAATATTGCATGCCCACTGTCGTTTTGTTTTCTAAATTCGTAATCTCTACTACATATCCGGCCACATTCACAAATGTTGTCGATACTCGCTGTTGACGTGAGGCTTGCTATCTCAGTTTTATCAAACCAAGTTATGAAGTCATCGTCAGTGATTCCTCGAAGCAATGGACTTCCGGGTCTAGCATGGAAAAACGTTTCAACAGCTAAATCTGGACGCGTCGATGGATAAATCTTTGCAAAAGCTGGTCTTAGACTTGTAATTAAGAAATTTGAGCGGGCTTCATACGTGACACAGACGGGGCATGTGGAACTAATCTGTAATTTTAAATATTATGCCTGTAACTATTATAAAAATAACGAAACCAAATACTAAGCTTGTACGGCTACTAATTATTAGTATTAATCGATATTCAAATAATCAGCATAATTATATTAGTTGTGTAGCAATAATTTAGATCTTAATCTATTAAAATCTAATAAGTATGTATTAAAAATAAGCATAAACTTACGTTTGCGAAAACAAACCAAACAGATTCCCCTCTAGAGCCATAATGTAAATCAGCAAACGTGGCACCATCCAGTACTACGGGATTAACAGAATGTAATTCGTATCCCGAAAATAGTGAAGACTCCAGACGAAGAATGCCAGAACGCTCCTTGCCTTTCCATCTAAATTACGAAGTCTCATTAATATCAATATTGGCCGTTGTAACGTTATTTAAAGTATTTAAGTAGAAAGAATAATTACTTGAAACATGTCTTGATGATCAAAGTGGGTAAGTTTCCTTGCAAGTCCTCGATGCTACTTCTTTCCGGGTGTATTTCTTCAATAATCGCTGCTTGAATATTTAGAAGTGCGTTCTCCTGTTTCGGCGTGTAAGTTGAGTACGATATTGTTCCCTGGAATAAAATGTTTATAATTATACAAATGAAAGAGTCGCTTTTTATGTTACATCGTTCACTGCCTATCATCAATTATAGCCATGTCAATATAATATATATTAGTAAGTATTTGTAAAAGCAGTAGTGAAAACTAAAAGTTATCAAGAATAAATATATTTTGTGGCTGGAACAATTAAAATATTGTTGAAAATGTCATCCTAATAAAAATATTTGATTTTCACATGAGAAAAACTATCGGTTGTTCCAATACCAAAAACTTTACCTTTACAAAACTGATTATTTTAAATTAATAAATTGGGTCATTGAACTTTTATGATACAAAAATAAATTTAGGTAAATGCTCAACTTTTCTCACTTGCTTTTTATGTATCAATTTTAAATTAACCTAACTCAACTTAAACTTAAGTTATATATAAAATACGCATAAATAGCGTCAAAACTTTTCTGAAGTACATGTACCTGAACAGTGGCACAACCGGCACCAGTGGCATACACAAAAACTTTTGTGGGCAGTCCAGGAAGCTGTAAAGGTCGAGGAGGTGTTTTCGCTCGTAACTCCAATGTATCAGTTAGCTCCATTCCAGCCGTTGCAAGCGAAACGGTCAGAGCTCGATGTCTGAGATATGAAAATTAATTATAAGATATTTCAATGTGACATAAAGTTGAAACAAATGGAGTTCAGCTTATGGAATAACTTTGTTTTTGTTGAATCTAGTACCATAACGTCCTGTGTAACCACAAATACAACACGTGTATCTTAAGCTAATAGTCCAGATCCTATTAAAGTATCTGCAAGTAATACAGAGGCTTATCTCGAGAGGACATTAAAGCCAAAATTTAAGAAATCGAACTCCATTGCCTAATAGGCGCGGCAAAACTGCCACAATTATTTTATATGCAGTGTCTACAATTATTTTATATATAGTGGCTAACTAGGTAATTGAAGAAATATGCATTATTGATAGGCGAACCTGCATCATGATAGGCAGTCGAATGAGATGCGATGCGAACCAGTTTTAGTTGCAGTTGTTGATGTTAAAACTCATTTCATACCTATCGTGTGCCAACGCTGCGTATTGGGCTGCGGCCTTTGTGGCGCTGTAAGCCAAGCTTGGATGACGTTGAAGGGTAGACGCTCTGTAGTAAAGGAACCTTGCCGCCGCCTCGCCTTCAGCCAACGCGCCCCTCGCGCATGCGGTCAGCAGTACTCTAACGCCGGCCACGTACTGCTCCATTGTGACGGCTTCTATAAATAGTAATAGTAAATTAATCATCATGATCATCATTTCAGCCTGTAGGCGTCCACTGCTGAACATAGGCCTCCTCTAGGAATTTCCACTTCGATCGGTTTGAAGCGGCCTGCACCCAGCGAAGTCCTGCGACTTGACAAATTGAGCCTATATCAAATTCAAATATCTTTATTCAACATAAGAGCATTATACTAGCTCAAAACGAAAAGGTCGTGATCTGAGATAGAACCGTCAAAAGAAACTCAGCGGGCCTCTTTATTTTTTCTACCATTTTTTGACAGTGTGACATTGCGGACATGAAGTCATTTATTAAATGTTCGATTGAAAGAACCTGGAGCGATCAATTACTAGAGTGTGTTATCATTTAAATAATCATTAATGTTGTAATAGACTAATACACTAACGTTCGTATACAATATTTAGTTTTAATTTAGCTAAAAACGTATATATTTCCCATAAAATCTTCGCTTAATAATCACAGTCTACTTGTGATGTAAATAAAAATATATCAACAACTAGATAAAAACTAACCATAAGAAGTGGTTTTTATATTCCTCGATGTCTCCTCTAGCAACCAATCAGCGGCATCTTTTCTTGGAGCTGGCCAACCAAACTCACCCTCTTCAGTCGTAGAAGCGTTCCTTAATATAATTAATGCCTCAGGGACGATTGGGCTCCTGTAAATATTATATAAAGTGATTTCCTTCTCGAGCCATATTTAAAAATAGTAGAAGAGCTTTATGTTTTCAAAGATTATGATCGCCATCTAGTACATGTCGTCTAAAGCTGGATACAAAATAGTTTTAGCGCCATCTGCGTCACAAAATAGTGCCTATGTTCTACTACTACTAAAAGTTACATAATTACCCAACGCCATCTACATAAATCAAATGTATGAAGTAACGAAACAGGTATTTAAATAGAAAAAAAATAATATTTTGGTAGGAATAGATCCTTTGATATAAATACCTTGCAAGTACGAGAGCCAAAACAGTGGCGGCTAGGGCAGCAGGCGACGTAAGGTTGTAAATATTTTTCTCAAGGTATGCTTGAGATTTTTTGGCGACATTTGCATCGAACTGTAACAAATAATTTTTATCGATTCATAATCAATTATTACATTTACGTGAATATTCAAAAATGTTAAATGAAATGTTTTTTACGGATTGCATTCTGTTTCCGATCAAGAAGCTTAGGGAAACAGGTTTATAATAAATATGACAAACGTAAAAAATATTATTCAATAATATTTGTACGTTTTATACACTTTATATGCGTAACATGTAATATTTTATACTAAACCGATTCCGCATTTTGAACGTATTAAAACAATATCGTCGATGAGGAATAGGCTATGCTTCGTTCAAAGGAGATTAAATTTTACTTAAAATTTAATAATCAAATCATTCATGATATGAATATGTCTTTAATAGACTCGAACTGGAAACAAGAACTTCATTTCTTCACATATCAAATCACAATTAGTGTAAGTATACGTTATTTAAGTGTATAACATTAGCGTACTTCCAATTGCAATACAGGAAAGTCAGTATAACTTAGATTTGTTTTTCCATGTTAAGCTGTGCGTAACAAACTTAAGCTGTAATATGTACCTGGCTTTCCACACCAACTTCTAGTAAAGCGGCCAAAGTTTCCGCGGTGACTTCAACTTTCCTCTCCCATTCTATTTCCTTTTCTGTCATATTTCCATCTTTGTCATAGTAGTAATACTCGTTCACTTCTGGGTCACTTCCATTAGATTTCTGTAAATCCACCGGATAGTAGTCTACTTCTTTATCAGCGGCCAATGGTGAGAATGAACCATCAGAGCCTTGTCGTGTTTGAATCCATTTTTTTATCGACTGAAGTAGATCTGGATCGATTGGGTAGTATGATTGTATTTTGCTCAATATCTCCAGTATTTTGATAGTGGACAGATGACTACTCATCGCTGGATGGTCGCTGAACGAATTGTCACTTTTGCGAAACGATAACAGAATTTGGACCTGCAACGAAGCGCATCTGTCATTCCATTTGTCTATATGTTGTTTTATTCATTTATTGTTAAAGTCCCATACTACGGATTAATGTAATGGAATTTTCTATATTTACAGATATTTGTTCGAACCATGCTTCCATCTTGGAACTTTTAATAGAAAACATATAAATGCTGAATTTTACTGGCAATTAATTAAGCTACGGATGCAAAAGAACAATGAATCGAGTTAGGAATTTCTAAATTTGTCAGTACAGCTGTTTTCAGATTAATTAAATAGTTACTGCAACTACCTGTTCAGGTAATTTCTTTAATATCCTCTCCCTCTCTGTCTCGTCCACTAAATGTGGTATATGTTCCAAAGCTAACAATGGTGCTAAACTTGCTGAGGCAGCCGATAACTGGGAGTCCCTCCAAACCGCAGCCCATTGGTCTGCCGAATCGGTAAGTAGACTGTATAACGGTAGGTGGAGACCTCCAGAGACTAAAAGCGTACCGCTCGCGGAACCCGGGACTACACCATGAGGAAGGCCAAGTTCGAGCACTTGAGAAAATCCTGCCTCTTCGTTGAAGTTCCAAATTCTGAAAAGTTATTAATTAAATTAGTTTCTGTAATTATTGTTGTGCTAAAATCAACAGTGATAAAGGGATATGATGAGAAATCAGAAAATCAGAAAACAGGAAATTACAGAGGCCCAGCCTTTTTAAGTTTAGCACCACATCTGCAATCCCATTGGATATGTGGATGTCAATGGGCGGTGGTCATCACCAATCACCCTTTTGTTTGCGTGTACTCTCACAAAAAAGTTTTCTTTTCAAACAATAGTAGCCAATATACGATAAGTTGATTCTGTATTATTGGAAAGAAGATTCTGTATTACTGTATCAGTATCATTTGGAATGGAATAATACCGAGAAAGAATATAGAAGTGTGGGAGTAGAACGAAAATTTATTTGAAAAGTTTCGCATTTCGTTTCTAGTAAACGCATATTGAGAGAGTCTCTAACAACTCTATTCAAATATTTTTATGTACCACACCGTCGATATTTGGTTTTGAATATTGTACCTGAAGTCAGCCTTGTCGCCCCACAAAGCGCTGAATCCGACGTAGTTGATTCTCGTGTCTGCAGTCAAAGGCCACACGAGAAGTCTGCGCTCAGAGGGCGCAGCTCCTTTGCCAACTGACAACTTGCCACCCTCCCACCAAACCCACCAGGCACACCAGGACTCGGCACCCGAGCATTCGTCGTCACTCTCCGTTTGCTCAGCGCTTGCTAAATGGACGTCGTAGCCTGGAATTTTTAAGATTTAGCTTATAATATTAATCTTATTCTTGTAATATATCAGTTACACTGAGATTGATTTACGTTTCTTATGTTATTTATTATTTCAAAGCTATTTCGTTTCTAACTGGAATATATCGGAGCCAGTATATGATGTTAACAGATCTATACGTACAATATTTTTAAATAACGTGAGATGTTATGATAACGATTTAACAATCAAATCCGATAATTATTTAATTATTTAAATATTTAGATTGTTTTATAAATACGATTATACCTCAATATTTTATCGGACTTTAATGCGAATTAGGATATAATACTTGAAGAAGGATATAATACTATGGACATAAAGTGAAGTTCAAAATATAATATATTAGAGTTTTTGACAATTTAGCAAAGCTGAAACGAAAAAAGAATTGATACAGATACAAAACTTGAAGGAGCTGTACTAGTTTAAAATAAAAAGTGAAAAGGAAACTTTTCATAGTTTAGAGTGTGTAAACTCACCGTGTTTTCCTTTAGCGATCCAAACGCGTGTTCTCTCGAATACAACTCTGTACATATCTTCCGAAGGTTCACGAATAGCCGAGAGAGCGACATGAGCGGCACCCAGTGCTCGCAATTCCAAGACAAGACCAGCGCGGTTTCGAGGAGCTGCCACCCACTGCCACTCCCACGAGCCGCGAGAGGAAACTGCTAGATGTTCTGAAATCGGCAAAGCACATTTTGAAGTAGAGGAATTTGCTACGTAACAATTTAGATAGATTAGTGACAGTGTTAGAAGAAAGGTTTTTCAATGATTAATGCAAATGTATTACTAGAGATATTAGTTATTTCTCGATATCTTTATCATAGTCATTTTATAGTTAGCTAAGTGTAAGTTGACTTACGAATTGTATTAAACTCTATGAATATTAAACGCATAGACGATGGATTTCATTTACGATACCCACTGTTTTGCCCTTAAAAATATATAAACTTAACTGTGGTACTACTACCTATTGTTCTATAACGTTCTAATTGAATCACGAAAAATGTATGCCCTGTAAACTGTAAAGACATTATTTCGAAGTCGTCGATATTTAAGCTTATTAGAATAGGACCCATCGCTAAACGAGATGATAAAGCATATCGATGAATTTATCAAGATGAGGTAAAAGTAAAGCTAGGAAACGGATCTAGAGGTTGCAAATAATCGAATTAAACACTACGGAATAAATGCGGCGTGACATAAAGCAAAAATTTAGTTCGTCGCTCTTAATGTCGCTATCAATTTGTGCGTCAAACTTTTATGGCGAAAACAAAGTTCACATTCGAATGAACAAAGCCTCCGTGTTAACGCTTTTAGACGAAAATTAACAATGATGGACGACCGACTTAGTTAATGTGCTTTCGATGTAATGATTTTTCACAGCCAATTCTCTTTTCGCTTTGACGAATAATACGAGTATTTCCCCGATCGTCATGGTGCGAATTTCGGATGTGTCGAGATGATGCGCAATTGAAATAGTTAATAACTATACAATTATTTTAATATTTGGAATGAAATGGTGTTAGTGTAATTTGAAAAAAGAATACAATGTATTTTTGTTAGATATTTATTAATGTTTTATAGTTTATGTCATTATTAAATATTTTTTTTTTTAAATAATTTTAGAGCCTTTATTTCAAAATGGCACTTGTTACGGTAATTCGTTTTTAATGTTAGAGATGTGTATATAATTATTTGTTGCACAGTACGGCATGAACTAATTTCTTTTGTGATAATTAGCACACGATCAAAATGATTCATTTCATTATTTTGGAATTTTTCTCGTCACGTAGTTTCAGGCAAAAAGTGAATGATTAGGCTCAATCTCTGGGCACAATATTTATTTCGGTGTTTTTGAGAAATTTTTAAATAAGTGTGAACATCTATTTAAAATTTCCTTTAATATTCTTGTTTTACTGTCTGCTGCACCGAAATTTCTACAAAATTCACACGAAAAAAATTTACGCGTAATTGATATAAAACTAACAGCGACTGCATCGGTTTCTTTGCGATTTTATTTATTTTTAATATCAATAAATAATTTTCTGCCTGATAAAATTAGCCACTGTACCATGTTTGCGATGTAGCCTCATCCTATATAATTAGTAATGAAGAGTTAAAAATGATAATGAGGTATCAAACTCACCGTTAGCACAGAAATATGCGCTTTGCGTATCGCTTCTGTGCAGACCCTCGGGCAACACCAATACACTCGCTGATCTAATCACGGAGCCAACGAGAGTCTCGTTGTTAAAAGACGTATACGATACTGAACAATTGTCTGCACTATAACCAGTGACTTCAACTGAAAAGTCAACAAATAAGACACACATTAGTTAAAATATATTAATAAATTATTGTAATTGTAACATATATTTGTTAAATTATAACAATAAATTATTTTGATTGTAAGTATTTCGTTTAGATTACGGCAACCGCACATGAATTTAAAGACCAGACCTTAAAGCAATGAGTCTGAAAAATAGAAGACATTATTTCCGTAACCAGTAAAAAAATATGTAACTGATTATAAAAAGGAAGAAATCTTGTGTTGTTTAGGAAATCAGTAAAGGGTTCCATTCTCAAATCATTTGAAAAGAAAAAGAAAAAAAGATTCAACTTTGATTTTTACGGCTAGATTTTTATATTTCTAGGAAATACGTTATATCTAAGATCTTGCATTATACAAGAGCTCGTGATTCTAATCCTTCATGGTGAAAATACTAAGGTTAGCTATAAGTTTTTCATCTACTTATCGTGCTTTCACTTAAGACTATCGCTTTACATCGGGCACAATTATAACTAAGCAAGCAATAAATATCAAAATATAAAGCATCCATCACTCCATTTGTACCTGCGATCTCAGATAGCGTATTCATTTCCGATTATAAATTTTACTGTAATCGTTCTGCACAAACGACATTATGGATTACAATTATACTATAATGTGGTATTTTTAGACGTTTCTTGATACATCGTTATCGTATTACTAACGCAAGCTTCAATCCGAACAAATGTAATATCCGCGAATCATAAAGATATTTAATGCCGATCATAGGAACCGTAAATCGTTGTAATAATCTCGAGTCACATAAAATTTTTATTCGTTTCAGTGCGACGTTTGGTCATAACGCCGTTTTATATGGTCTCCGTACCATTATGTCGGCGTCCGGTATTAGCCTAAAATATAGGACGGGGATTAAGTGTATTGGATCGGCGTGGATGTCAAAGCGTGGGGCTTTGGGTGTATTTTTACGTAAATGGGATGTGACAAACAAAAACGAATAGGTTATTTTGTTCTTGTATTTTTTTTGCTCTAATTGAATTGGCTAATATTATATTGAATACGCCAATTCAATTACAGTAAAAAAATATTATATATTTAAATTATTTATAGTGCTAATCTTTGCACTTAAGATTGAACATTAAAACATGTAGAAAAAGTTCGAAAAGATTGTCGCCGCTGTGGGAATCGAACCCACGTCTTCGGCATCGTTGTAAAACGATATTCGAAATTGTTTGTATGCTGGAAAGGATATAATAATGGATGCGCCAAGCATTGCTGCAAATGCTAAAAATAATGTACATAAAACACGTTAGTATTTGTTGTTGTAGCGGCAACAGAAAAACAAGTGAAACCACTTGTGAAAATTTTAACTGTCTAACTATCACGGTTCATGAGATACAGCTTGGTGACCGATGGACAGACGGACAGACAGACATCGGATACTTAGTAATAGGAACCCTTTTTAGCCCTTACACCTAGGTGTTATCTTGTATCTTGTATTAACTGATGTTTTTGCTTTCAGTCCCGAGACTATTAAAGCTTCATCGGACGCAGAACCGGTGGGCTAGCCAGAACCCACGGGTTTGGACCCCCGCTATGGGTAGGGTCGCGCATGTGCTCATGCGTGCGTTTAACTACTATGGTGTGTCATCTAAGGGCCGTCGAGGTCGCCGGTTCGGACCGAGACCCCGACGGCCGTCGACTGTGCATTTAGCTAATCGTGGCTGAGAGCGGTGAACACCGCCCCGGAACGCGGGTGTACCTTTGTACGCGTTGTGTGGGGGTCTCGCCGTGCTCGGAGGCGAGGGCGAACTGGTTTGAGTGTTGTTACACTAACTGTGGGTGTAGTGTTATCCGGCGGGACCCCCGGCGGTGGGTCCATCGTGTCTAAGTCCTCTTCGTCGACCGGGTCGATGAGGACATTTCGCGGGCGACGCTTGTTAACGTTCGCGTTAGTGTCCGGTAGGTAGTTTGCTGCGCTTACCACCAGAGGGTTGGGATGATGTTGGGCTCTATCGAAGAACCGTTTTGTCAAATCTTTAAAATGAGCGCGAATCGTCGGGAGTCTGCAATCGCTGTGCAGGTCGACGTTGCGCTGATACCATTGCGCACCGGTTGCGCGGCGGATAAACTTACTACCTAGGTGTTAAAGTCAGCCCCGTTTTTTTAAGTTTTTTGGCCTCCTGCCTGATGTCAACCCTCCTTGGGAATATTCACCCAGATACGGAAAAGTTCTCTATCTATGGAGTCCCGTGAGGAAATCGAACCCATGTCCCGAAGCTTACGGCACCAAGTCACTAGTTTCTGTGCAATATTTTTTGAACAAGAACTTTTTTTTATGTGAGAAATTGGCAAACGTACAGGCAGTTTACCTGATGTTGAGTGATAAGCGCCGCTCATGGACAATTGCAACACCCGTAGGGTTGCAGATGCTTTGCCACCTTTTAATAATGTAGTCCTCGGCTCAATCACCAGACGAAATTCATAAGTATAACACTTTCACTTTACTCCGGTTTTCTGTGCGGTCGTAGTACTTACCCGGACGGACCTGCCCATTCGTGCAACAGCAAACACTATTGGGTGGCCAAAGTTTAATTTAACAATATTTCATTTTTTTTACAGTTTACTTTAAATTTAACAATGTCAACAACAAATATTTTTGCAATAAATTTCCAAAGATATATTTTATATTAGTTTTGTAAATGTAAAAATTACGTATACTATGAACGGAAAAGCGACGCCTACTGAATAAACAATTGTTTATGTTTTATGTAATTGAGAAAAAGCGGTTTGCATAGTCTAAGCCCATAATAAGTATTTTCGTCCAAATCCCTAAGGGTGACATCGCGACGTAATCAGCTCGCTGCCTAAACCGCTTATTTCTTTCACATACAAATCTATTTCCCATTTCGCTCATGTTATGGCTAGTTCTACATCTCTATGCATTTAATTATTATAAATCGATATGATTTGTTCCTTTGTTTAGTGAGGTATCTCCGAACGTCCGTAGGTCCTTACATCTAGTATCTTACGATAATTTTTGATATATATATATATAAAAATTTCCTGTATTTTCGTCTTAAATAAGAATTCTACAAATAATGTTATTATTTGGTAACAGTTTACCTCATGTGGTGTAACAGTTAGCCCCTGGGGCGAGGATAAAACTAACGTGCCTATTTTCCAACATTTTTAATTGGTGTAGTTTTTAATGAGCTTGTACATAATTATTGTATTTAAATACTGATCTGGATTAAACAAATCTAGAAAGCTTGTTTTCTGCAATGCTGTATTTCACATGTATTTTACATGACGTTTTCATTGCTAAAAATTGTATAAAAACATAAGACGTCGCGAGTCGAAGTCGATTCGCGGTGAGTATTATGGTGACCAGGAATCAGGAAGGTGCGTCTAGAAGCGGAATCCTGGGAGTGGCGAAATAATAACAATTTTTCAAAATTAATTGATATTTAAAAATGTTAATTAATTTACTTGTTATTTTCAGAGTTTTTCGATATCCGCCATAAATAGCTACAACGTATAATCCCTACTCAATAGCATTGTTTGTAAATATACCTTAGTTGTGACCTGAAAAATTTAACATAATTTGGGACGAGCAAGCTTCTGCTTATTAAACCGTATTATAAACCGTGATAGCTTAGTGTCCGGGCGCTCGCCTTAATTCAATATACTCGAGCAACCTGAGTTTGATCCCCGGTGCCGGCACCAATGAAGTTTTTAACTTTAAGTGCTGAATTATCACGTGCTCCGCGGTGAAGGAAAACATCGTGAGGAAACCTGCATATTTTCGAAATAATAACAAAAAAAAATATATTTCGAATACATGTGAAGTCCGCCAATCCTGATACCCTCTGTATAGAGGAGGCCTTAGCCCAGCAGTGGGACATGTATAGGCTGTTACTTTTATAAATTTCATCGGAACAATCGCGGCGGTGTGTGATGTCTTGAAATTAACGACGCGTAAATTGCTTTAACAAATTTTAACAATATTTGACAATATTTGACAACTGCAGTATTATTCGATTATTTCCCCGATGTATTCACGTTATCATAGTGGACTCCTCATATGCATAATACACGAGCCCACGTCATTGATGCGATTGTTCTCGGTCGGGTTCAATTTAAATGTTAATTTGTGGCTCAGCCATCAATTTGAGTGCCTTGTTACCATGCTCGTATTAATTTGAATGTTGTCCCTCAAAGGTGATATGGGGAAATGTTGGTTGCTGTTCTGAAATTGAAATGGAGCATTCCATTGCTAATGAAGTCTTAATTGGTCTCAATGAAGCTGTTTAATAGTTTTTGTTTAAAATTTTGTCTTAAATTTTGAATTCATAATTTCGATGTCGCATTCCCAGCGCAAAGGCTTTTGTAGTCTGACATAACTATTATGCTAACCATTTTTAGAAGTAACCAAGTGGGATGCCGCGTCCTGGCTTATTTATCTATGATTAAAAATTATCCTTTAGCATTATCACAGTTTTATCATTATCCTTTTGTTTGAGTTCAGGTCGGTGCTTCTTAGTATGCACCAGTCTTCTCAAAGAAGATTTACTTTCCTCATGGCGTTATTCTATTCTATTACCTTAGCCACCGGTGGGCTAACAAATCATAGCATCTGATTTGTTTACTTTAACTATACTCAATTAACTCTGCTGATACATATACGCTCGCCATTAATCATCCAACTTTAATATAATTTTCGCGAAGTTGCTAGCGTGTAACATTAGAGTTTCTAGAAACTTTCCCCTGAGACACTGAGTTGACGTGGTTCTTAAGGCAAACTAGATCACGGCGAAGCAAAACATTTCTCACACAAAATTTTCCCGGCCGAAATGCTTGGTAAATTTTCCCTACATTGAATTTTACAGAAAGAAAAATACAAGATATTTTCCTTCCTTTTACCGACCAATAAGTATTTTCTTTTTTCAAAACAAGACTTAGTGGTCGGTAAACAAACGTATATAGTAAAATAACAAGTTTATGGGTTTTTATAAAATTAGTAAGTGTCGTTTTAATAACATATCTTTTTAATTAACGTCGTGGTGGAATTCTTACTTGTTGTTTATTCTTTTCAAGCTTAGGCGCCTCCTAAGCTTGACTGTCTGTATTATAAGGTAAAGACAAAATCTGGAGCCGAGAGTACTTCCACAACCCTCAATTTCATTAAAATATTTTGCTCGACGAATTACGCCCGGAATCATTTTTGATGCCAACTTTACCATTGTTTGCGCTAATTTCAATTCCCTCCAGTCGCGTCGGTCGTAAATCTGTTCTAGTTTTTGTCGTCTCGTCAAAGAACAACTATTAATTTTACTGGACAAATGTTCGTAAGAACATTTGCTAAATTATTTTAAGATTTGCACTTTCTTGTCATTACAATCTTTACAACAATGTTGGTAAATATGTATTTCTCTTTTGTCTACTTTTCCTTTTGTACGTAACATAAATTGATTAAAACAGAGATGAGATGATTAACATTTAAAATTCAAAATCATCTAATGCTTGCTGAATATAATTATAACTTCGAAACAGAAACAAAGCGATACAAATTTATAAATATGTATGTGTTAAAAGGTGGCCGGAAGTAAGGTCTAGATGTCGATTCACGGCTCCCAATAATACGCAAGAAATCAATTTAATACTATCAAATCGAGCCTACATTATGCCATTTCAAAGCTTCATCCAATTTATTTTATAAGTGCAACGAAAGGGTAACCTTCGTAGATATGACGATAGGAATAAATTTACAATGCTTTTGAATACTCTAGAAGATTCCAATCAGATGCAGATATATAGTATATGGCAATATAAATAATCAAAAATCAAACAATTCAACGTAACCTTAATTAAAAAGTTATACGTAATTTGGAGTAAATATTTGTGAACTAATACGTGTGAGAGTAAATTTCTCTTCACTAATTTGATTAAATTAAGATAATAATGTTAATGTTTAGTTAGTAATCCTTTAACCGCATATTCAAAAAGCAAAAATGTCTCCATTGTTGTTCCTATAAAATGTTAAGTAACGTTCAAACTATACCTGTAATGTTTTTTCTTCCTGGTGTGTTAACGGCAACCCTCACGACTAGCTGCGTCCCACCTCTAGGGCCGAGGCGAAGACGCTCGGTGACGTAAAGCGCTCCAGTGCTCGCGAAAGCTGCACCAGCGCTTAACGCCAGTAGAGCGGTCACCTTGACGAAAGAGCCAAATTAGAAGTTTCTCGAAACTTCCACTGGACAGAAAACTACGTGGCAGTTATAAAGCGACTTTCGTTGCTTCAAGACAGGAAGTACAAAGCCTTATAGACAAAAAACCCAAAATCAAAATTCTATATTTGCTGGTAATTAGGCACAAATACATTTTATTATTTCTGTTATCATTGTGTTTAGTTTTTTTTTTGGCTGGATCAACCGCTGTTGGCCTTGGGGGCCTTTACAGATCAAGTGTGTTTACAAAATAAATTTAGCTTATCATAGAAAAAGTTGTAGGGCAACGCACCAGTATTTATTGTTACACGAATTGCCGGGTCCGTCCGGGTAAGTACCAGAAACTCACAGACCAGAAAACCTCCAGACAGTGGAAGTTTTTTTATATTTCTGCGTTTCGTCTGATGAGTGAGGTAACCGGAGCCAGGTCACCCACCAGCTCGCTTGCCACCTTCTCTCATTAAGATGCGTTTTGAACAGAATAAATAAATAAATAATAATAAATAAATATTTAAGGACACATTTTTTTACACAACGTTCTCTAGTCTCAAACTAAGCAATGCTTGTACTATGGGTACTAGAAAACTGATAGACATACTTAAACATACTTTCCTTTTGTAAATAAATACACATTATACATACATAAACACCCAGACACTAGAAAAACACTACGCTCATCACACATGTTTCCAGTAGTGGGGATCGAACCCACGCTCTCTGGCGCAGAAGGCAGGTACACTACCGACTACGCCATTCGGGTCGTCAAAGAGTTAAGGTAAAAGAGTTCTTTATTCTGTGCGAATAGTATTAAAATCCGCTAAGTAGTTTCATTTAATAGAATGTTAATGAGTAATTGAATGTTAAAATTGAATGTATACAAATCTCACTTATTTTTTTTACTTTAATTCTTGCTCCAAATTATTTATTTGTGTTTATTTTAGTCACAAACATTTACACTGTGTTATTGTTTTTTTATCATTTAATATTTAATACATTACACCTGTGACTGTATCTAAAAATGAGACAAATATTATCAACTACAACAGGACCCGGATGTTTCAATGCATTATTTTTTGTAACTTAATGTAAAATAAAGAAATTAAATCGGGAAACAATATCTAATTTCCTTTTTGAAAAAAAAAAGACATCTCATGCGCAAACCATCATACAAATGAAAGATATATTCGATCTCTTACTAAGGCTCGTGTGAGTAATATCAATAAAACGGGGAATAGTTACCCCCGCTTGTTATGATACTGCGAGGCCTTCCCCCGGGTGTTATGTAAGCCAATAATGCTCCAAAGATGGAGTCAGTGTCGGCACACGTCCGAAGTTTATTGGTACAGTCCCGATAGTAAATTATTGTTGTCGAACGGTAAACAATTCCGCTGTTTATTTATGAAAGAGGCAATTTATTTTGTCAAGGGTCAAAATATTCTTCGTAGGACGTGAGGTGTGGACATTGATATTGCAGCCAGAATAAAAGTATTAGGTCAGAATATTCTCTATCACTTAATATTATATCTACTCTCCGTCAGCAGTTATCTATGTTTCTTTATTTTGTGCCGTTTTAACGAACGTGGCCGACTATAAAAGCGAATTACGCGTGATATTCGTGCATTTAGGTAATAAAACCAAATGAAACAAATACTATAACTTTATTTTATATTTTTAACCCTCATCTGTACCCGATAGGAAATTTTAATGTGAGTTTTAAATGGACAAATTTTTGAAAAACTTTTGGGGGCTGTGGAATTCGAACCTGAAACTTCTGAGTGACAATTTGTTATATTAAAAAGTCACTTTTAAAACTAGCACTGATTAGGGCATGCAATTCAGATTTAACTTCGCTAAAAAAGATAACGAGATAACTTTTAAATAACAATTTAAATAAACCAGTTTAAATAACACATTATTATTAATATTAAATAAACTATTAGATTTTAACGTATATAAAATGTACTTTATAAAGAAATATGTACAAAATTGTTTTATATAATAACTTTGACGGATAGTAAGCGGCATGGGCCAATAAAACTTTAAAACTCTATTAATATCTTTCAAAACTATCACGGGCATTAATTCGAAAGTTTTCCTCGAAATTCTCTATAGACTCATACAGCGGATTTTAGAGTGGATAAAAAAGTTTATAATGCCGCGAGTAGGAGTGAGGTGCACACGATATTTCAGTGTTAGCGCGGATTGAGACGTGCTCCGCATTGCAGGATGCCCTGGCGTTTTGTTCGCTCATTTTGTTTCACGGTATAATGCTGTCAATTTGAAAAGCTCTTATTACTAGCAGCAGCCCATGAACATCCCACTGAGAAGCAAGGACTTCTTTTCAATTGAAGTTATCAGTTTATAACAATAAGGATAAGACGCGTACTGAATATATTTGGGAAAGCTGTGCTGAAAGCACCAGTTACTGAGAAAATAAGGAATCACTGGAGAACCAATTACTGCTTATCGCTGTTTATGCTACGACAACTTGAAGCTAATTTTGAAATAGTCACGCGTGTAATATTAAGAATTGTACAACTAAGTTGCACGTAGGATTTTTTGCAGGATCCGCTATAAAGTGTCATTAATGCAGAACCCGAAACCGAGATATTTCGCGCATAACTACGTATTCACGAAGTTCTTAATTCACGCAAATCTAAGTATACTTTTAATTTTAATCTACTAAAATAAAATTAAGAACTTCCCACTACGTCGAAGGTTCTTTGTAAAAAAAGTAAAGTTCATCGAGCATCACAAATGTACTTTAGAATAAAATGGTCGCAGAGTGCTCCGAATTTATTATTCGGCGTCCTTTTATTTCTGTATTCTAAAATCATATTTTTCTCGACCACGAGACGTGAAGGAAAACGCGTGTAAAAGTAAATCAAAGGCACGTGAGGCCCGCCACTTGACTGCCTTGGCCTTACTTCAAAACCCTCTCCACACGAGGACTGCACACAGTAAACCCTATACAGGCGTCGATTTATTTCAGCCCATTCTGTACAGAAATAACAAAGGAGCACCCTGTAGATATAAACGCGCAAGTTAACGTTCGGACACCAATAGCAATGAACCAACACTCGCGCGTTCAGACGTAAACGGCATTAATTATAACGCTTTCGGGGTAACAGTCCCAGCTCAACGAGCCAGCGATATTAATCGTTGCTCTTCACTCAGGCGACTGCTGCGGTTTACGTGGCTAGAGCAAATATTGAGGGACATACTGTGCAGTCAGCTCGCAACGTTCGGTATTGGTAACGGAAAAATAAGCGCTGAAAATATCGGATGATATTGGTTTAGCAATCACTTTATATTTTACAGAAAGAAGTGTACATTCAACAAAAGTTGCAGTATTATACGTTGTATAAAATGAGTTCCTCTTTTCTCCTCTTGAGTAATAACTATATTTATTTTTATTATGTGATATGCATATACTTTTGTTTGTGATAGGGCCCACTGTCTGTCCAGGAAAGTACCACGACTTCACAGAAGACCGGCGCGAAGTGCAAGTGCTATAATTCTGTGTTTTGTCTGGTGAGTGAGGTTATCGGGGCACACTTTATTCAGATGTGGGAACGCATCTGACACCCTAAGGATGTTACAAATGTCCACAGGCGGCGTATATCATTTAACATCAGGTGAACAAGCAGCTCTCTTGCCACCGCACAATAACAAATAATCTTTAAGTTATGTACGTCTGTAGTTATGTGTCTGTGTAGCATCATCAATTTATCATTTCCTGACAGAAAAGGCAGAATAATATAATCTTTACAGTATTTTGATTTAACAATGTTAAAAAATTGACGTAAAATATTTGCGTAAATACAATAAATCATTTATTACATATTATATATCAAAAAATATGTAACTATTCTGGTTTAGTATCTTTCGGATTACATATGATACTTGAATTATATAGGTAACTGTATATAAGAGAGAGAGGGAGAGAGAGAGAGAGAGAGAGAGAGAGAGAGAGAGAACTATAAAATCTAAAGCTTCATTGATGTAAGAGCTAGCTGCTCTTACATCAATGAAGCCGTGAATAAATTAATCGGATGCGAAAAGTGAAAACAGCACTCGGCTCAAGCGACGGGCTGAGGCGAGCTACCGTTGAAGCAGGCTGATTCACTCAATCGAGTGATTAACGCCAACGATAACGTTGTTAATCCCTAATCGGGGTTCGATGGTGGCATCGGTCGTCCGTACGACTAAGCGTGGATTAGCTTATGATCGTTATCTAGTGGTATGATCCGATAGCTAGTGGAATATTTTCGACGTAGCAAAACAATTAGCGCGATCACTACAACATATCGAATAAAGGTCAGTTCAGTAACAATATAGAGGAAGCCATTTTATGACGACCCGAATGGCGTAGTGGGTAGTGTACCTGCCTCCTGCGCCAGAAGGTGTGGGTTCGATATATGTATAATATGTATTTAATTACAATAGAAAAGTATGTTTGAGTATGTTTATCAGTTTTCTAGTACCCATAGTACAAGCTATCTTTAGATTGGGACTGGAAAATGATGTGTAAAAATGTGTCCTAAAATATTTATATTTATATGTTATTTATATTTTATGAGTACCGCACTCAGTATTAATTTTAGCTTAATAATCTAATTAATTTGTCTTTAAACAGATAAATTTATATAAGTAAGCTTATAATGCGTTTCAATAAAATGTTACCTTCATAATCGACAACTCATAGATTTTCATCTGCAATATTAGCATATTCATAAGTGTAGTGAGTTTCTTGGTTATTTTTGGAGAGATTCTTAATTGCACCGTTTTAAACAACAAGTTATTTAAACACGCATAAAATCTGTATTAGATACATTTTCAGAACTGTTGTGCCAACTACATTATAAACTCGAATATATTTAAGTCTATTTATTTATTTTTAAACGCAGGTTCCAATCCCGCAGCGCCGAAGCTTTGTTCATTTATCTATAAAAATTTACAATTATTAACTCAAGTATTACTCTGTATATTACATTATTGACACAGTTATGCATGTTGTATGCGAACTGTGCCCATAATAACTGTATATTAACCTGAAAATCAATCAGCCATATATTGACTTTGCGTGCGTACGGCATTGGCATGTCGAATGCTCAAAGGGAAACTTTACTGTCGATGAACCATGTGTATCACATGCAAATATGCGTGAACAGTTTAAAATATACCAAGGATATAAATTATTGCGTTTTGGCCTCAATTGCTTAATGTGTCAACATCTAATTTGAGAATCATAGATTCTGAGGACTTGTTGATGATTTTTACTGAAAATTTCCATATACTTAATGAGCTATCTGTTCTATTCCGGAAATTAAACCATCTAAAATAATTTGAAGAGCGAATGCACCACATGAAGCACGGATGGTTATAGAAGTCTGCAGGCTGTGACCACAATAATGGTTGAGATTGTATCTCAGCTATTGCATTAAATATTATACACACCAAAGCCTGCTATTGAGGCTCGATGAGTCGCCTTCCTCCAAAGCTGGTTCGCGAAAGTGAATAAAGAAACAAGTTAATTATGAAACAGGAGATTGTTACAGTTACGTTCGGACAAATTAAACCATTAATCACATTCTGCATAGATGGGACCAAAAACTAAGTGTTGCTATAGAACTTAAAAATCATTTTTCCTGTGGTTATAGATTGTGTAGCGTTCAAAGGGTCTGAAACAGTATAAAATATTAAAATTAAAGTAATGAACGTTTATATCTTTCACTTTAATAAATATGAATTCATTTTAATCTAATATCTAGTTGACAACATTGAGCTTTTTGGCACACTGGCCGCAACCATCCCCATCATAGCTTGTTTTGTTATATCAATAAACTGTCTGTAACGCAGTTGAAACAGCAGGTAAAATTTTCATTTCAAAAACAGAATTTTTTTAATGGAGAAAAGGTGCAACGGTAAAAATGCAATTTAACACGATTATCGGCATAAAGGCCGTCAAGTCTCGCGGATTCGCGTTAACAATCCCTAAATGTGTTCGCACAAAAAAACCGCATCCTGACCATTCACGCGTCGTTAGCCGGGTACAATAACGAGACGGAATAAATTCTATTTATTTAGGACCCCGCTGCCCCTTTTACAAATGTTATCGCTCATATTTCCGTAACGTGCAGTCTAAACCGTCCATAAATTAATTTGCGGCCAGCACGGGTACGGGATAAACTTTGTTATAGCCACCGCTGTATTTCAACCGCGATGTGGGGATAGAAAATAAACGTCCGCCAACCGGGCTCTAAGCGGAGCGTAACCGTGACGGTAGGTAACAACACTAATGTGTAGTTAGCGGTTGTTTCAGGGTTAAAATGAGCTTGGAATTTGTATATGGCCATCGGTGTGACAAGAATCTATTAAATGTTAAACAGAAATTTGATAAATTAGTTCTTCGATAGGTACAATACATAAAAGGACAAGGACATAAAAGTGAAATCCTTAGTTTGCACGTAAGGTAGTATAAGTTCGAAAAATATGACGGTCCAATCGGCTTAATTGATAGTGGACCTGTCTCTTGCGCCAGAGGGTGTGGGTTCGATCCCCAGCACTGGAAGAATATTGTGTGATGAACATAGTATTTTTCTAGTGACTAGGTATTTAAATATCCAAAATATTTATTCATTTACAAAAGAAAATTGTGTTGAAGTATGTTTATCAGTTACACTCATACTACAAGGTTTGCTTAGTTTGGAACTAGAAAAAAATATTTATTATTTACTAGCTTTACGCCCGCGTCTTCGCTCGCGTTGAAGTCCTTTTCTTTTTTTAACCTTTCAACCCTTTCAACACTTTTTTCCAATTAAAAAATAGCCTAAGTCCTTTCTCGGACTCTATACTATCTGTGTACCAAATTTCATTTAAATCGATTCAGTAGTTTTGGCGGGCAAGCGAGACAGACAGACAGACAGAGTTACTTTCGCATTTATAATATTAGTATGGATTTAAAAAACTGGAGGGAACATTCCACAAAATTTCACGCGTGTCACAGCCTATGAACCTCCATTGAATCCGAAAACAAATAGATTTTGAAGGCTATGTTACATTGTATGTTTAGTTTTAAAATGTAACGATAATACAAATTCAATTATTGTAATCACAAGAAAACCAGTTGAAAAATATACCTTACATGTATGTACACGATAAAAATGAAATCCAACAATTTATGTCGATAAATCCGCTGTAAGAAGGTAATAAATAATGTTGCAAGACGATGTGTGTTGACATACACGTATTATCAAACAAATATATAATATAAACAAACAAATATTGAAATAATTATTTAAGTATTTTTCACGTTTTGCATTTCAAATCAGACTAAAGAAATCCGTAAAGTGATTGCTTATACTAGTCGGAAGATAAAAAAACTTTTACAAATCAACTTTACTTTCATAAATTCAACTAGAAGAAGTTTTAGTTGATGATGTATCTAGTGTTAAAGTGACCAAGCAAGACATCGCTGAACGCAGAATAATAAAGATGAATATACACACGTGTGTGTATTCATTGTCGTGATAGCTCAGTGTCCGGGCGCTCGCCTTTAATTCAATATACTCGAGCAACCTGAGCTCGATCCCTGGTGCCGGTACCAATAAAATTGTCAATTTCAAATGCTGAATCATCACGCGCTCAGCGGTGAAGGAAAACATCGTGAGGAAACCTGCATATTTTCGAAATAAAAATAAAAAAAATATATTTCGAAGATATGTGAAGTCCGCCAATCCCCAGTGGGGCCGCGTGGTGGAATATGCCCTGATACCCTCTGTACAGAGGAGGCCTTTGCTCAGTGGGACATGTATAGGCTGATACTTTACTTTCCATTTTGAATTAAAGCGAGCGCCCCGGACAGTGAGCTTTTATTTTAACTTATTTAACGCTTTCAGTCCCGAGACTATTAAAGCTTCATCGAACTTTGAGGCCCTCCACAGTTGGTACACAGTGAGCTATCACGGCTCATAACTAGAAGTGTTTTATATTACTAATACGTTACTTACATCCATGCAATTGTTGATATTATTGGTGATCTTCACGTCGACCTCCACGGTCTCGCCGACTTTCAGAGCCGGCGGGAGAGCAAAGTCCAGCTGTATCGGGCGGAATACGTTTATTGTTCGCGGCGCGGAGAAGCGGAGACCTCGATTTGACAGAGACAAGGCCCATAGGGACCAGCGCCCTGCTTCTGACGGGGCTGCTATCGTTACACCGTCAGTCGACAGTTGACTTCTGTAAGGAAAACTAAAGTTAAGAGAGCTTCAAACACATAACTGATTCCTCAATTATCAATTTAGAAAAAAACAAGACTAGGTTTTTTTTATTAATTTTATATCTGTTTCAAGTAATTTTAAACGTCAATATCTAAAAGATATAAAACCAAAGAAACTTCTCCACAAATCTGGGTTAAACGTTTTTTTATGAGAGACCTTAATGGTCCCGTCTTAGTATGATTTTCTTAAATGCAAGAGGAGAAAGTACATTGTTTTCTGTAAATAAAGAAAATGAACGCATATGTTAAATGGCATAAAAAACCATATGTGTGTCATATAAGGTGGTCGTATTTTGGATTGCAACTATTCCAAAATAAATTAAATGTATAACATAATAATAACCTTAAATACAACACATTCTAATGTTTTTGTATTATAGCTCTCGATGTTTCGAATACTTTCCGGAATTCATGGTAACAGGATGGACTGATGTTCGACATCCTAATACTTCTTTTATCCGAGCTACCGTCAGCTTCACAATAATAAATTTAATTAATGGCACATATTAATTTAAGTACCTGGAGGACCGAGCTTTTCTCGGTTTGTTTTTTTTTTTTTTTTTTTGGTAAATCGTGTATTCTGAAAATTACATTTAGATACAAATTACTGAGAAATGAAATATGCATAATATTTTCGATCTTATCGACGTAATAATAAGAAAATATGAACTGGTGTTTTTCACAAAAGAAAGAACTTGGAAAAGGGAAAAAGAAAAGTAAAAAGAAAAAGAACAAGATCATCTAGATAAAAGAATCATATAACTTCAATCATATATAAACACGTATTCCATATAGAAACTTATGGTGAAAAAAGGTCGCCAAAATTGGGCTATTTGTCGATGAAAAGTAATTAAATGCAGCCGAAACAAGCTTGTAATGAGATAATATTTTAACAGTTTCAACAAAATTCATTAAAATAATTCATTGTAAGCATTGTTTCCAACGAACTAGTTACAGTATGTTAATTAACCAGTACAATGGACAATGCTTTATCGAAAAACCGTACAATGGACGTTATTTCAAGGGATGATATGAAAATAGGAATATTAATACGATTGCTTCATTTTGTGAAAGCTGTTTTAATATGGAACAAATGGAGCATGTAATTTTTACGATCTGCGACTACTATGCGAATTTTGTTCATATAATTTTTTTTTGGATTTTATGGCCCGGTATCAAGTACCTAATAATTTTATAAATAAATACAAGAGGTTGTAATTTGTCTAATAACGAACCTCGTTGCTGTACCCTAATTGAACTGGCAGGCAATGTCATAATTTTTATTTGTAATTCTTGTCTCTTCGAATTTCAAAATCCAACGAAGACTTTTCAGCTGCTACCCGCGTCATTTCGATTAAATGTGAGGCTCATTGTCGGACGGTCCTCCATTTAATAATATTTATCTATTTAGTAGAAGTAAATACATATTGTGCTTGATTGCAAAGTAAAGAGGAATGGAAAAGTTATAATTATTTAACTAAAAATAAACTGTCCTAAGATGAGTGTGAACATTCAATACACGTCAACAAACGGTGAAAATTATGAAAGTTCCTTAGTCAAATCAAGTTATACAAATGACAAAAAGTGTTTTTAAGAAGATGGCTAGGTGGGATCTTAAATTTTAACGGAATTTTTTAGTCAAATAAATAATTCTATAAACGTGATATTCTCTAATGACGATAATGATGTTGAAAGAATCTTTGGAAAACGTAAGGAAATATTAAATACTAGTAGATTCAAATTCTTTTAACTCTCCAATTTATTTTATTTTTTTAGAAAATAGAGATAGAATGGAAGATAACATAATTTTGTGTTATAAGGATGTTTTACATAAATAAATTTCACGCGGACATACATTTGGACCCAAAATCATTATCTGTGGGTCACATAAATAGTTGTTGGGAGTGATAGTCGTACCCAACCCCCGGCCCCGAAGCCAGTACCTTGGTAATTGCGCCACGGAGTTTTTGGGAAAAGTCACAAGTTTATTTACGTTTCCTGAACACACGGTGGTCATACGAAAAAACCATACCTAGCCTAATAATGTGACGTGATAATATGTAATTGTAGTTTAACATAAGTTTTTCAACCCTATGTTGAATTAACAATAGACGACTATTGTCTTAATAAGGCTACTAAACATTCTAAAACACAAGGGTCTTTGGCCCTTTTATTAAAGGCTGTAAACTGTAAACAGGTAAGTAAGTATTACGATGATTTTCTTTTGTTGAAACAGCAGAACTTTTAGTTTAATAATTTAATATTATGCTCCGTCATGATGCTCATTATAAAGATAACCTACTTGCAAAAGAATGAGATGATTTTATGTATGGTTGTAAGATTCGTACATGTATACTTCTATATTTCTTCTTGTATCTTGTATTAACTGATGTTTTTGCTTTCAGTCCCGAGACTATTAAAGCTTCATCGGACGCAGAACCGGTGGGCTAGCCAGAACCCACGGGTTTGGACCCTCCGCTATGGGTAGGGTCGCGCATGTGCTCATGCGTGCGTTTAACTACTATGGTGTGTCATCTAAGGGCCGTCGAGGTCGCTGGTTCGGACCGAGACCCCGACGGCCGTCGACTGTGCATTTAGCTAATCGGTGGCTGGGAGCGGTGAGAACCGCCCCGGAACGCGGGTGTACCTTGTGTACGCGTTGTGTGGGTCTCGCCGTGCTCGGAGGCGAGGGCGAACTGGTGTGATTGTTGGTACACTAACTGTGGGTGTAGTGTTATCCGGCGGGACCCCCGGCGGTGGGTCCATCGTGTCTAAGTCCTCTTCGTCGACCGGGTCGATGAGGACGTTTCGCGGGCGACGCTTGTTAACGTTCGCGTTAGTGTCCGGTAGGTAGTTTGCTGCGCTTACCACCAGAGGGTTGGGATGATGTTGGGCTCTATCGAAGAACCGTTTTGTCAAATCTTTAAAATGAGCGCGAATCGTCGGGAGTCTGCAATCGCTGTGCAGGTCGACGTTGCGCTGATACCATTGCGCACCGGTTGCGCGGCGGATAAACTTACTTTGGACTACTTGCAATTCGTCAATGCGCGTAGGATTTATGTGTGCGAAGATCATGCATGCGTAGGACATGATTGGCCTTACGCAAGCTTTATATAACAATAATTTGTGCCTTAAGGGCATTTTACTATGTTTATTTGTTAAATTGTGTAGCCGGCCGGAGACGAACGCGGCTTTGTTTCGGACTTGATTGATGTGCGTAGTGAAAGTCATACGCGAGTCGAAAGTGACTCCTAGATATTTGACCGTTTTCTCCCAGGGGAGAGTTTGGCCGTATAGTGATATTTGCCCCAACTTTCTGTACTGGCGAGGACCTTTGTAACGGTGTGGCGGATGGGGGTTGGGGGTGCTACGGGTGAAGTGAATCGCCACACTTTTCTCTGGGTTAATATCGATTCTCCATTTGCGGAACCAATCGCCGAGGCGGTCGGCGGCGCTTTGGAGTCGAGTCGTTAATTGGCTGAGGTTGCGATCTGAGTAAAAGAGCGCCGTGTCATCCGCGAAAAGCGCGAGATTGACGTGGGGGTCTCTGGGTATGTCGCTCGTGTAGAGCGTAAATAACAGGGGTGAGAGGCAGGAGCCTTGTGGTACGCCGGCCGTGAGGCGGCGGCTTGTGGAGAGGGTGCCCTCGACTCGATATCGAAAAGAGCGGTTCAACAAAAAGGCCCGGATGGTGTGTACGAGCCTGTCTGGCACTTTGAGTGTGTACAGCTTGTAAAGCAAGCCGTTGTGCCAGACATTGTCGAATGCCTTTGCGACATCGAAGAAAAGAGCCCCTGTACTGAGATGTTTCGGGTGGTTTAGGCCTTTTAGGATGTGCTCCGTTAGGCGGTATAACTGATCTGGACAGGAGTGTCTAGCTCGAAAGCCGAATTGTTCCGTCGGCAGAAGGCCGTTGGAAAATACGTGCTCTTTGAGCCTGTTTAACAATAGCCGCTCGTAGAGCTTCCCCAGACAACTGAGGAGGCTGATGGGACGATAGCTAGAGGGCTTATTGGCTGGTTTATTCGGCTTGCGAATGCCGATAACCGTGGCTTGCTTCCAGTCGTCCGGAAAGGAGCAACTGGAGAGAAGCGTATTGAAAATTGTCGCCAGTAAACAGATAAGCGGCCCAGGGAGAGCTTTTAGAATCTTATTACTTATATTATCTGGGCCCGGGGCGGATTTTGGTTTTAAATTTTTAATTATATCTTGGACCTCTTCGGGGGTCACTGAATTTAGAGGTTCGCCTTCCGGTGGAAGCGCAGCCCTAGTCTCGATTACGCGGTCCACCTCCGTTAGGTGGGCCGAATCGGTGTGTTCGCGCGATGGCGTACATTGCTGCTCTAGGTTGTCCGCGAGGCATTCGGCTTTTTCGGAGTCATCTAGGGCTACTGAAGCGCTATTAGAACTAACTAACGGCGGTAGAGATTCGCGGGGGTCTGCTTTCAGACTGCGGGCCAACCGCCAGTAGGCGGTGTGCGATGGCTCGATGTCCTCTAGGAGAGTGTCCCACGTTTTATGTCGGTGTTCCGATACACGATCTTTGACTTCTAGCTGAAGGCGTCGAAGTAGAGTACGGTTCGATTCCGATCGGTATCGGTCGAAGGCGCGTTTAGCTGCATTTTTTTGTCTAATTAGCAGTCGTAGGTCGGGCGGAAAGTTAAACCGTCGGTCGCCCGACAGTTTCACCGTCCGTTCCGAGTCTGTGACTGCGGAAGGAAGTAATAGTTTCGCGGAGACTCGCTATCGCTCGATTTGCGTCATCGAACGTAGCTATCGTCTCGGGTAAGTCTACTAAGTTCTGGGGGTCCAAGGCCTTGAGTTTGACCTCAAGACGATGCCAGTCCACTACGGATTTGGTCGGAGGGACCGCGCCGGCGTTCTGGCCCAGTTTACACAGGACGGGCCTGTGGTCTGAGTCTAGTTCATGGATTGTCTCTATCGACTCGATGTCGAGCGAGACCTCCCTGAATAACATTATGTCTAGGACACTCGGTGACGCGTGCTGGTAGTTGTCCACCGTAGGATACCTAGTGGGAGTCGCGGGAGCGACTATGCTGAAATTTAGGTTATCGGATAAGCTAAAGAGATGCTTTCCGTTGTTGTTTGGGATGCTGTTAATGTCCCATGAGCCGTGTTTGCAGTTTAGATCTCCTGCAATTATCACGGAAGGGCCTAAGTTTAGAAGCGTATCTAGGTCGCTTTGGAGGAGGGTTCTATTCCCCGAGAGGTAGGCTGAGACTAGTACAAGCGGCCTGTGGCCGATGGAATGTCGAGCGGGCAACAGTGCAAGGACCGTTTATAATAAATTAGTATGCCTCCCAGACGGTTTGCTAACCGATCGTGGCGGACAATATTGTAATTTGCGATTCTGGGATCGCGTACGCTAGGCTTCAAGAATGTCTCTTGCACTAGAAAAATGTCTACATTATAATCGCGAAGGAATTCCGCGATTTCATCCCTTTGACCCTTTATGCCGTTTGCGTTGAAATACGAAACAACCAGAGCCCGAGGTTTTGTTTTACCTGCGGTTGTACTTCCCATTAAAGGTGCCTTTATGGGTCTAATTTAACGACGCGGCGGAGCGCGGTTTTATTGCGCGGACTATTGATCTTTATGGTTGGCTCGTAAAAGCCCAAAGGGCTTCCACAAGCGTTTTGTGCTGGCTAATTGCCCTAAGACGCTCGTGGCCAGATGTGGCGGCCGCTAATTTAGCGGACAATACGGCGAGTTCCTGTCTATTTATTGTGTCCAATAAACTGCAAATGTTCGCTAATTGCGCGAATGGGTCGTCTTTGTTTTCCGCGAAAACTGACGGAATTGGCTGCACCTGCGGCCGCGGCGCCGTTTGAGAGGCGGGCAGCTGTTTCGCGATCGGTCGTGAGGCGACCGGGATTACGGGCGCGGTTACCTGCGCGGCCACCTGGGGTTTCGCCCAGGCGTTTACGACGGGAACGGGCGCGGGAATGAATTTAACGGGCGCGGGTTTGGGCAACGTCGATTTCGCGGGAGATTTCCTCGCGGGAGTTTTCGGGGCCTTAGCGCAGCCTCTGTAACTAGCCGGATGACCGGTAGTGTGGCAATTTACGCAGTCCGGTGGATCTGCGCAATCTTTCGCCCTCGTGCACTCGGTTGTGCCGTGGTCACCGGTGCATTTGACGCACCTTGGGTGAGCGAAGCAGTTATTGGCCGTGTGGCCAAAATGTTGGCAGTTGTGGCACTGTGCCACAACACCCGATTTTCGTGGGGGCTCGATGACTAAGTCACTGAGCCCACAGACCCTCTTGAGGTTGAAAATGGCCTTACCTTCCGGGGTAGGGTCAAGTTCCACCATGACCATGTCCATAGGGACACGGGTGCGAGGGTGCCTGAGACGGCGCACGGCGTGTACAGGGTATCCCTGAGTGCGGATGTCGACCTTAGCCATATCGACATCCGACTCTTTTGGGACGCCCTTTATTACGACCCGAAGTTTGCGCTCTTCGGGTAGAGAGTAGGTGTGGAAACCTACCTTAGCTTCGCGCAAGTATTTAGTTGCGCGACGGAAGTCGTCCGAAGAATTGAGGTATACGCGGATACCCATATGCGTATTCTTGGACCGGGGGTCTCGGATGTTGTGGCGTTCAAACCACGAACAAACTTGGTGCCACTTTGCCTTATCTTGTATTATAATAGGTGGCGGTGGCTTAATTTTTCGCTCGGAGGCGAAAGTCGGTTCCGACTGGGCAGACGCGGCTGCCTTTTTGGCGGGCGTCGCGGTGGGACGGTTTGACGGAGCGGCCTCGCTTTCGGGGTCGCTGTCGGTGGCGGGGCGTTTCTTGCCCTTTTTCCGCGATTTGACGACGGTGAAGCCGTCGGCGTTCGCGTTATTAGCGGGGGTCGTTTCGACCTCCATGTCTGAGCCGCCGTCCGATTTTGAGTCGGGAACGACAGCGCAGAAGGGGGCCGAGTTGGATTGCGCGGAAGGCGCGTTGAGGTCGATCGCGGCGGCGGAGGTCGACGCGACGGGCGTGTTAATTGTCGCAGAGGGCGACACAATAACTGGTGCGGAGGGCACCGGAGATGGCGGCGAGACGGCAGCCGGTGAAGCCGGACTGTCGCTAGCAAATTCGACGACGATGCGTCGTTCCCTCGCGAAATTCAAATCTTGCCCATATTTCGGGGCATTCTTCCCGCAGGAATTCCTCTATGAGGGAACCCATGTCGACGCTTGAGCCTTTGGGGCTTGCGCCCCGCCGGCGTGTGGTTGTCTAAATAGGCCTCCCCACCTTGCGGCAGGGAGGTGTGTGCCTAAAATTAACCTTTAATCGCCTGCGCTTTAGGTGCGCTAGGGTGAGTACCTAGCTGTCGCCTAATGCAACAAGCACACAGATAAAAATTACAATGCCGCCTCTGAGACGAGAAATGTGTGTAGAATTCTACTTACGGACAGGAACCTGCCTACGAGCACAACACTACACTAACACTATCCGCTCGGAAGTCGGGCAAAGTTTCTTCTTTCTTCTGTAACGTTTTCTTCTATCTTCTATAATTATTCTTCACTCTTCTTGCTTGAGACTTCCCTAACCGTAGACCGCGAAACACGACAACGATGAGGCAAGCAGTGCACACCGAGATGTAAAGGAAATAATATATATAGCAACAACGGTTGCAAAATGGCTTCCGGGTCGGTTGGCATGGGCCCTCCGGCTCAGATTAACGTCCGTTCCGTGTGGAAGCACGAAGCGAATCTGTAATGTTCTATATTTCTATATTTATCTACGATATATATGTAAGCAGTGATCCTAGTGTAAGAAGTTGCTGGAAGGGCCCATGACGATAAATCGTACTGATACGCTCTTAACGCTCTTAACGCTCCCGTCGCTATACATACTTGAAAACATCATGTATGTAGGAAATATCATACATCTTTTTTTACAAAAAACATACCATATCGCGTCGGGACCACGACACGTTGGAAATACCGAGGTTTAGACTAGCTAAAATCAGAAAATCATTTCTTGACAGATGTATTAACTTAATTAATAGAATTGGCGACATCCACAAATAATTAAGTGTAAATAATTTCAAACATTTTTTTACAAAATGGAAAGGGCCTATTATAATGTCGAGGAGTACATTGAGGACAAGGATGTGTGGAAATGACTCTTGCTCTACACTTGCAAGTCCCCTGGCTCCTGCTAAATTATACTAAAATAATTTTGTGTATATGCTTAAATAATTAAAATATATATATATATACAGAGTTTGAGAGACCGCAGAGTTTCTTGCCGATTTTTCTCTTGCAGGTCTACTTCAATGAACCGGTGGTAGTTTTTGACAGCTTAAAATAAGCCTATGTTGAATATGGAAATTTTGACTTTGACCTTGATATTTCTAAAAGAAATGTAGAATTTTAATTTATTCTTCTGATTCGTGGATATACATATATCTATTTAACATTCATACAAATTTCCTTCCAAACGAGGCAATCAGCTAGAATTTACTTTTTACTTTGGGGGCTCTGTTGTTCGAGAAGTTTTGGAAGGGAATTTATTTGTCGATTTCCCCTTGGAGTGTCAGCGGGGCATTTCACCTAAAGATCGGGAAAGTCCCGTACAAACAACTGCCCAACGGACTTCTATCGACGGCCGTTCGGCGTTCCCTAAAACGCGTATGACCCCCGGATGACGAATCAGCGCATTTCTAATTTATGAGCCGATTCCGTGACGTATTTATTACCGCAGGATAGATGCGGTGGCGGTGCAGAATTGATAATTTATTTTATGAGTCGAGCCGGACGGCTTGTACTGCGTTTCGGCTGTGGCTCACCATTTGAGCCAAGTTTGAAGCGCACGGATAAAATTTTATTTGAACGCCTGTTTTTTTATTATTGTGGTACGCCAAAATGTACAAATATTAATGATGAGCAATAAAATAAACTAAAATTGTTTCAACTGAAGTGCACTAAAAATTCAAAATTAAATTTAAATATGACGAATAGTAAAGGTGACGTCTCCAGTTTTCAAATTCTTCTTATCTCTCAAAAATTTCTCCTGCCCTTACCTCATCAAGGTGGGGTCGGTATAAATTGTGAATTATGTTGTTAATGTTGTTTATTGGCTATGTTCTTTTACGACCAAACGCCTGCCTGACGTCAACTCTTCTTAGAAGCAACCATCCAGATCCGGTACATTTACACAAATACTCGTCCCGTATGGGAATCAAACCCAGCACCAAAGTCAAATAGCTTAGCAACTGCGTCACCAAGTCATTTCAATAGTTTTCAAATTATAATTTATAACAATGAACTTATTATATCTCTTTTCTAATCAGTTTCATTCATAAAATCGCAGAAATAAAGTATTTTATATTTTTGTCGCACCTTAGTATGAACGGGGAACCACAGTGCAGCGGGGAAAAGAGTTTTATCTACATGTTTGTAAGTTTCATTTTAAGTGCAGAAGTTAGCACTAGAGTTTAAAAACAATTGAAAAAATCAAGCCTCGAATACGATTACGCTTACTTTAAGATACTTTTTTTTTATTAATACGAGCCTTAGCTCATAACAAATGGGGCATAAAGCGTCCATGAAAATGATCTTTAGTGCCTTTTTCTTTTTGAATACAGCAGTCAGGCAGTCGTCTATTTTGGAACAATTTCAACGGTTACACGAAAATCCTATTAGCTTAAGTAAGCCCGTTTTATATTTTATATCATGAACGCTAGACTACTTTTACGCTGTAAACTCTATTACTCAATATTTCAGAGATGAGCCTTGCATGTTATTCAGCCTGCAAGTGAGCTATTTTTGCTGAAGACTGTATAAAAACTCACGTGTAATTGAAGCATCGCCACATCCATAACCGGTCATGGGACGCTGGTGGCACTAGATGCGCGGGGGCCCGTGGCGCGGGCGCCGTCCTCTGCCTATACAGAACCCCACCACCACAAGCGCCGCCTCCGACGAAGAGGGAGACACCAGCCGACACGAACTCTGGGCCCTGTTGATCCTCTCGCTCCGAAGGTCTGCGGGAAGAGATGAGTGGAACAAACAAAGAGTGTAAAAAGAAGTAGAAAGTATTCAGCAACAAATAATCGTTTTGGATGTGCAGTTTCTTGGTTGTACAATTCTCAAGGTTAGACTGTTAAACTATGGCCACGCAACAGTCTTCGCTGTTGCAATAGTTTAACCCACGTATGAGCACATGCACGGCCCTACCCACAACGGAGGGCCCAAACCCGTGGGTTCTGGCTAGCCCACCGATTCTGCGTCAGATGAAGCTATAATAGTATCGGGACTGAAAGCAAAACATCAGTTAATTCAAGATTGCTGTTGCACGAATGGGTAGATCCGTCCGGGTAAGTAGGTACAATGACCTCACAGAACAGCGGCATGAAGTGAAAGTATACTTCTGCGTACTGGTCACATAAATGATATAAGCGGGGCCCGCGTTATTGTAGGGTGGCAACGCATTTGTAAGCCTAAATGTCCATGGCCGGCGGCATTAATTTAGCATCATGTGAACCGCCGGCTCGCGTGACACCTTTTCACACAATATTTCACATGTGGCTCGCGTTGATGCCCATTTCAACTGAGGATGATAGCTGAAGAAAACTGAGCTACCAAAGCATCTACGGTAAGCAAAAATTATTTTTATTGTGCCGTTCAGTTGAGATTGTTGTGATTATTAATTAGTACATTTATTAAAACTTGAATTGTTTTTTGTCATACCTAAAAAGTAAATCATTTTCTAGATATTTTGTTCAAAGCAAATAGGCTTTTTTGGGCCTTATTGTTTTTTTCGGTAATCGTCAAAATATAAGGTAGATAGGTAAGAGTCTTATGTCAGAACAAATAAAAAACATTTTTAGTTCAAAAAGAGAATATGATAACTAAAACAATAAGGAAAAAAAATGTATGTACAAACCTACTAAGAATTTCTTTTATTACCGGTTTATAAATTGTAAATATTGATTGAAACTGTATTGTGGAACGGAGAAATCAGGTGCTAATGTGAACAGAATCTTCCCAGGAACGTTTAACAAAGTTCTCTTTCCGACGCGAATATTCTTAGCCACGCTATTATGATATGGGAAACGATTTAAACTAAGCAGTACATAATCTTTAATCTCGAAATCGAGATTAATACAAGGCCGCTTTGGAGAATCGCGTTAACGTCGTAGCTATTTAAAGTTTTATTAGAATTGAAAAGCAAAAAAAAAAGAAAATCGATTTCCATTTCAGTACAATTTCACTGCCAACCGTACGCCGCCGCGGCAGTTTAAGCACCGCCCAATTTATAGAGTTGCCCCTTTTACACGCGATGCTTATAAAACCGGAACGCACTCTACAGGAGAGCCGCGTCGATATCAAAGGCGCGCTAACTGAAGAATTTCTGCAATGCAGCGCTCGACTCACTTTGCGCGAGCTCAACGGCAGAAGGGAATCAGCCATTGGAGCAACCCAGTCAATGATATTTCTACAATAATTAAGCCTAGCGGCTAATTAATATTGGAATGCTGTGGCTGTATGCATTTCAGCGCTTTTCACAGCGGCGCATATAAATACAGCGCAATTTTACTGCTTTTGATTGAATTATGTTGATCACTGTGCATCGTTTAGTTTTATTAGTTCGAATAATGTTATTTAGACACTATGAGATTCGCTTCGTAGACATGTAAAGAAGATGCGCAGAAATTCGATGGAATTTGGTGGCTCACCGTGTTCCGTGCTTATTTTTTATTGTGGTGGATTCCATGGATGGTCATGAAGATAAAAGAGGTGTATGTCACAATAGCTTTTATAATAAAAGCATTTTTTTAGAATTCTAAATACATCTAGACCCATTAAAAAGGAGTAGCCGGGCGTGTCCAACTTTGGCTAATATTTGGTATCTACATTTTGTTCATTTTATGAGTCTTACATACAAATGTCTAATTTGTATTAATTATTATTGTTAAAAATCTACGAGTGTAAAAACAACGGGAAGAAAGGTCATTTTGCTTGATAGTATTATAATTAGACGTGACGTAACATTAGAATATCCGGATTTCCATTATTTTTAGAAATGTATTTTTTTCGAAGAAGAAAAAATAGACGTAACAATTTAAAATTTTAGCCAGATACTAAACCAAAAAAAAAACGGAGAACTTAAATGAACATCGCTAATGCATCGCATAAATAAATCGCTTAGTAGTGGATGGTTATTAAGAAAGATCTACCTACCTACGTCAAGTGATTATCTGTTATGCGAACATCACTTAACTAAAGTGACATAAATGATTTTTAGTGTTTTTCTCTTTTAGGCAAATATGACCATTTGAGAGGAAAATTTTCGTTCGACGAAGCGTTAGTTCGTCAGTAACAAGATTAAGCCGTGACATTGACATCGACAGACTCAACTGACTCTGCGAAAACAAATACCATATAATGACATCACTAATCGTTAAACCATGAGACAAACTTCTTTGTTAGTAAATCACTGCAAGACAATAGTGGGTGGCGTGGACAAATTCAGGTATCACTCAAGATCACCATAGCCATTATGAGAAGATGTATTTAAGCTCAGGTAGGCCTGAATCTCAGTAGTATAGACGAGCATCCTCCAGAAAAATGAAGTGCCTTCTAGCTGTTCTTGCTGTGGTGGTGAGAAAATTAAAATACGTATTGAGTTTATTTTAAAAATTGTGACTGAATAGTATTTTTTTTACATATGATAAAATAAGTAATAGTAATGCTAAAATAATATAATGGTAGCAACGGGCTGAGTGACCGGTACAAAACTTTAAAAAGTAAGAGATGTGGAAAGATTATTGTAATGACAACATTTTCCAGGCAATCATTATGATTTTCTCGACTGCACCATGCTGGGCCATGCCGAATCAGCCTTGGAATTACGGTGAGTGTAATTTTGTGTCTTTTTTTTAATTTTGTAAATTAATGTAATTTTGTAATTAATGTAATTTGTAATATTATTCGTCACCTGTAAGTAAAAGTCCGGAATAATCAAATCAAAGTCGTCAAAACGCTACCACCGCGCGGTTCGGAAAGAAAAGCCACTGACCTGAGAAGAACCGGCGAAAGAACCTCAGCGGGACGATTTTTTTAAACATAATTTGAAAAATATAACAAACATTTATACAATATATTCCGTTCCACTTGAAAGAGCCTGGAGCAACCAATTCATTTCCAGGATGTGTTATCATTTAAATAATCGCTAACATTATAATAGCCTTTAACACACAAACGTTCCTTTACAATTTTCTTGAATTTAGAAATTGATGCATTGTGAACGTTTTCTGGGATTTTGTTATACAAAAGTATACATTGTCCCATAAAAGAATTAGTTATTCTACGCAGTCTGGTTGTAGATCAATTATCATTACTAGGTTTAGGTTTTTTATCATTGTTATGTATATGAAATTATATTATTTTTATGTAATACATAGTAAATGAGCAAAAATACTTAATAAAACATAAAACTTCTATGTCTGGGGCCTTTCCTATTAAGGTACTTAATGTTTAACATGTCGCTTTCTGTTAACGTACGGGAAACATCTTACTCTAGAAAGTTATTATTAGCAAAAGAAATTACTAGTGAAAAAGTAAAAATAGACTTTTTTAGTACAAGCTGTAAAGGTTAAGAACTGGAATATTCGATAGAGGACTCCAGAATTATTGTTTTATGTTAAATTGTTAAGAGGTTATAATGGGGAAGGGCTACGATACCCCTGTGTCCTATTATCATCGATATAACATCTCTATCTTCAGTCGATGAAAATTATTTACGATCAATGAACGCTATCTTTTTTTAATGGGAGAAGGTGGCAAGCGAGCTGGTGGTTCACCTGATGTTAAGTGATAATCGCGTGGCAACTCATCTGAAACACCCGTAGGGTTGCAGATGCGTTGCCACCTTTTAATAAAGTGGGCCCCGCTATCTCACTAACCAGACGAAACGCGTAAGTGTAACAATTCCGCTTCACGCCAATAATACATGCCGCATGTTCATACAAGTGATTATTATTAAAATTGCATCACAGCTCTCACTGACAGTTATCACTTGCCGTCAAACGAAAATGAACTTTTTTGTTAGTTTAAGTCTACAATCCCTAAAACCACCTCGCCATTCGGTTTATAAGTCCCACGCCGTCACGGCTTTTTTTTAAAAACAGCCATACACAAAGATTGTGTACATTGTTATTTTTTACGTTTAAATTCCCTTGAAGACTTTTTGTACATTTTGCAAGTGAATAAATGATTTTCAATCCATTTTCAGTTGACAACTTTAAAAATTTGACACGCAAGGAAGCAGAGTTAATGAGTCAAGCTTTTCAGGTACGTGATATAATGAATTAAGTTGCCTATTTAAAGAGGGTAAAGGAGAGTTTAATTAGATACGATATATTTTTTCTCGTGTCATTATTCATCGAACGATCTCCAGATCTGCCATAGACGAACAAACTTGAGGATAGCGTGCCAAAGAAATAGATAAAAAGTTTCTTAAACAGACACTGGTGCCGCACGCTATGATCTTTGAAAAATGTTTAAATTTGCAAAAATGGTTAAAATGCTAAAATAATGATCATTTGGCTTGTTCCTTTATTGAATATTTTCTTTCACAGGCTCCCATCGAAACATTTTGGGGACAATGAAGAATTAAGAGTTATTAGTATAGAGAGATTATGTAATAGTTCTGTTAACAAAATTATCACTTTCAAAAACTAAAGAAATTAATATCATACTATAATAAATAATCTTGTTAAATTACCTGATTATATTGTGGTATTTTATGCTCTACATGTCTTTTATCTTTGTCCTTTTTTGTCAATACCGGCAAACACAAGCTTTAAAATGGTGTTTTAATTAACAAATTTGATGTATAATTATGGATTTTATGATGTCATGTGTCAAAAATCACTTTTTAGAATTAACAATATGAAAATGCACTATCATAAATACATAAAATATCCAGAAAATTTAATGTTTAATTAAGGATTCAAAGGCCTCAGGGATCAAAGAAATGTATTTAACATTTTTTTATGTTTAATGCACAAAGCACACCATAAAAGAATTAACAATCCCAGGATTTAATTGTAGTTAAACTTAACACTTAGTTACCTACTCTATTATACTTTTTCCAGCTTAGTTACATTCGCTTTCTTACGTATTTTCTTATTTATTTATTGTTATGAAACACCAATGGAATAACATGTTGTTTTGTAATTAAGTATAACAATAGTCTTAGGAACGAGAAGATTTACACGATGCCAATTAAAAGTAGTTACAACATGTATTTAAAGACAGATATGTACGATAAATTAATAATTATTAAAAGTACGAGCTACATAACTACTGTAAAACAAAAAAGCAACAGAAAAAATGAAATTTAAATATTATAAAAATATCATACGATAAACAATTAAATTTGTATAAAATTTTGGGTAGTATTAAAAGTATGCATAAGTTTACTCAAATATAACGGTGGAAATATAACGGTGGTAACACTGACTGAATCAAGTCTTAAACAAAGAGGAGCAAATTCTGCTACATTAAAAGGCCGCGACTTGCAACATTCCCTTTGTTCAAGCGGAATTTTTCAGGGTTTCGTGTTTAGGTTGATTCAATTACGAATGTTGATAAAATAACGAAGCCTCAATTACTACGAATAAAGTTAACTTGCTATTAGTTCGTTATAACATAACGGGAGCCGTCAGAAGCTAATCTGCCTAGGAACGTAAACGGAAAATCAGGTCTTCGTTCCAGTTTACGATTGTCATGTAGAGAGTAGTGCGAGATTAGTTTTCACGTTCCATAGCTAGTTACACGCTATTCGCTTTGGCCTTTGGCGAGGGGCGCAAGTTAAGAGCGGTACCTTAAGAGTTATATTCTACCTGAGAATTTTATTTAAAAGTTAATTGCGAGTTGGTTAACTGATTAATTACTATAAGATGCTTCAAATAATAGCGATGACGGTATAATTTCGTGATAACGTCGAACTTTTAGAGATAGAGCCTTATACTCCTAACGACAGACTGCAGAAAATTTCTAGGACATAAAATTTAAAAATATTTTTTTTCTGGGAAAAGGCATATGAAAACATTTTGTGAACTTTGTTTTGGTAATATATTTATAAGGAATCGTTTAATTCTTTAGTATTTTACAATTGTAGTTGAGATGTTTATTTTTTTCTTTTGGATCTTATATATATATATATATATATATATATATATGTATATATATTGTTATCTGATTAGTCAAGCAGATAACTATTTTAGGATTTTTTTATTATAATTTTTCTGGAAAAATATACATATTAGTGATAAAGTAAAATACACAATTAAAGCAGAATTGAAATCGAGGATTAATTCTTACAAAAAAGGGATTCCTTACTTTGGATATTGGTAAAGTACTACTATCACAGCTTTGTTACATCGGCTTTATTACATTTAACATCATATCATTAATTCATTAATATGAATGAATATTGAAACAAAATGTTCCCTGTTCCCTGTACCTTAATCATAACAGAGTATTTAAGGGTATATAATTTTATTATACCTTTACACATTAAAACTTACCTACAACATTAAAACCATTTGCGTGTGAGAATAAGTAATTAGCTTAACGTCTTAAGAGTACGCGATGCAAAAGTCTCATTTTCCTCGTTTTTTCTCCACCGAGATCATATCTATGATGGAATCGAGTGTGAATAACAAAAACAGCCATCAATATAAAGTTGATGCGAGATTTTCGAAGCGGCGCCTGATTAATGGTCCGTATCCGATAGTGTCTTGCTGCACCGGAATGATTTACTGCGAACCGCCACGCCACGCCTTAGCAAACGTTAGCTGCTCCTAATACCATGTAAGACGGGGTCACGTTTTAAATTTCGAACGTGCGAACATTTTTAGGTTCATTTATTTACAAGAATCTCAGGTATCACAATGGTTTTAATACAGAAGATGTATATAGAGATAGCATGGTGGCAGCGGGAATATAAGTCCCGGATAAGGCGAGTAGGTGAGTCAAGATATATTCATGTAAATGTTGCGAAACTTTAGACAACACTTTATTTGTCATATTATCACAACACACGGACGGCACTATGTTCGTGTTTTAGCAAAGATTGAATAACTTTTCAATATATGGACATAATTAAAATATAACTATTGAAATAGACTATTAACTTTTTTGGTTTTAAGGGTTCCGTACCCAAAAAAAAAAACGGTAAAACGGGACCCTATTGCTAAGACTCTGTTGTCTGTCTGTCTGTTACCAGGCTGTATCTCATGAACCAATTAGTTGAAACTTTCACAGATAATGTATTTTTCTGTAGCCGCTATCACCACAAGTCTAAAGAAATAAAATAAAATAAAAATATTTTTTTTAAAAGAAAACCGTTATATAAAAACTTACTGTTGGTGAGAATCGAACCGAGCGTCTGGCGGAGACCGTGCGCCTATCAGACACATCATGGAGTCCGGCGGTGCCAAAACTCGTAGTTGCAGAGCAGCCCTCGGATACCACCAGCGTCTCTCCTCTACTGCGACCGCCACCTAAGTTGAATAAGGTACTCAAGTATGTAATGATGATATGTGTCATAGTCAGAAATGTATTTCACGGCATCTGTTAGGAACTAGCTGATGTGTTTATGAATTAATAATGAGGTAGAAATAGATTTATGAGGAACTGGCTGATACCCAGATGATTTGGTGTGCAATAAAGAATATTTTAAATTATTATTATTATATTTGTATACTCCGATAGTCTAACGTAGGCAAATTATAGTATTCATACATTGGTTTTAAAATAATTGGTTTAAAATATGAGTAATTTTAGTATGAATAAAATTTAAATTAAAGGAAGACTTGCTTTAAATAAGGTAGACCGTAAATTCAATGCTCATGGAACGAAATCTCTCTAAGTACGTTTCACTTATTTCCCGAGAAAATCAATACGTTTTTAATAAATTATACAGTAACTTTGCAAACACACTATAGAAGCCATTAATTCAATAACGTCTAAGGGTAGCCCTTTTAGTACGTAATTGTTAGTGTTAGGGTTAAGTACATCTAAATTGCCGCATTTAGATACTGTCAACGGAAGGGATGAGTGGATCTTAATTGTTAACCACTATCGACAAACGAATTGTCTTCAGTTTAGTTGCTTATTTACTTTGTGCCACTTGTGAATTTCAGACAATGAATTGTCACGGTTAAGTAGTTGATTTCTTAAAAAAGCAACAGCCTATACATGTCCCATTGCTGGGCAAAGGCCTCCTTTATACAGAGGGTATAGTCCACCACGGGCATAGTCCATCACGCAGCCCCACTGCGGATTGGCGGACTTCACATATCTTCGAAAAATACATTTTTTATTGTTATTATTTCGAAAATATGCAGGTTTCCTAACGATGTTTTCCTTCACAGGGGAGCACGTGATAAGTCAGCACTTAGTTAAAATCTTCATTGGTGCCGGCACCGGGGATCGAATTCAGGTTTCTCGAGTATATTGAATTAAAGGCGAACGCCCGGACACTGAGCTATCACGGCTCTGAATAAATGTAATAATATCTATATATAATAATTAAACTACTTTACCAGCTCTCAATACTCGGATATGCGGATTATAAGAAATTTCTGACACATAATAAAGAACCGATAAGCTTATACAGTTTTTGTACACTTGTTCATAATAGTAAGTATGTCACATTACGAGATTGTAATGCAAGCTGTCAGTGTTTGTTAAACATTATAATTATAAAATATATGTGTTATAAAGTTTCTAGTTGTTTTATTCGTTATATTTAAATAAATAACTGTTTCTCATCAGAATTAGCGTATATTGTGAGATTTATTTTTAATTGTCTAGCCATTACTAAATTGTCGTTCTCTAAAAACTTTAACGGTAGCGTTAACTCTACCTGAAGTTAGCACGAACGTTCTTTTAATCGTCGCGATCAATCAATCGATTCGCGTTGGCAGTAGCAAATAACTTTACAATATATCATACTCGGTGACAGTTTCTGGCTATTGCCAGATGCCGTGACATTTGAAAAATGTTTAATAATTTCCAAAGAGCTTGAGACTCTGAACGGTTAACGCGATGGTTCTAGGTATATTTTAACGCTAATAGTGGTTAATATTATGTTTACATGGCTTGTTATCCAAATAAATTATCATAAATTCTTTACTTCTTTTTTAAGTTCTTAATTTCTTTGTTTTTCTTGCATTTGCATGGTGATAATAAATGTTATAGAAATGTCATAAATTAGAACTTGTCAATTTATTATTAGTGGATGAGGAATACAAATATCTTCGATACTATCGTAAAATTATGCCTGTTGAACTACTATTAATCTTTTTAAAGTTTTTTATAGTGCTAATCTCTTCACTTAAGGTTGAACATTAAAACGCTCTAGCCACTGAGCTAAACGGCTGATAGCCACAGCGACGAAAATTTTCATTGCCGAAGACGTGGGTTCGATTCCCACAGCGGCGACAATCTTTTCGTACTTAATCTACATGTTTTAATACTATTTATCTTATTTAAAACGAACAACACTTAATTTTATCGGGATAATATTATTAAAAATTTACAATTAATTTTGTAAAGGACCAATAGCGTTTTCCTATTTCGATAATAAAATTTATGCAGGTGGTTTTATTAAAAGCAAACAATTATATCTATGTTCCTAGGTATTGTATACAAAGTTTGAGAGAAAAATCAAAATACATATAAATGGGTTGGAATAAAAAAAATTTACTGTAATAACGTTATTTTAGATCTTTACTTCTAAAGATTAAGTAAATCGAAACTAAAATTTGTCATCTCATCTATCCTGATAAGCAAATCTGTCACACACACTAGTTCCATTAATTCCGGGATGGTGAGGGATCATTGCCATTATAGGTTATTTGTTGTTCAACTATTATATTATTCGGACTGCTTTATCTTATGTAAGCATGTGCGACTAATTTGTTACAAAGTTTGATTGGAAGAGCGTGTTTGGGATCTTAAATTTTCCTAGAAGTATCAACCTCACTACTTGCGACAATAATGGGGAAGTCAAAATTTTTAGCAAACTAACGAGAACCATTTCATAAATGCAACAAAGTTTAATTAATAATTAACTGCTAATCTATTTCTATTTGAATTCCATTGAATAGTGGTGGTATACCAGTTTCCCGTAAAAATATTATTTTCTTCATACCATGATAAGGTTGCTTAGGAATTTCACAACTATAAAATAGAAATAAAAAACAATCGTATTAAAGACAACGATATTAGGGTTCGGTACCTAAAAGGCAAAACGGGACCCTATTACTAAGAATCCGCTGTCTGTCTGTTCGTCTGTCACTAGGCGTTATCTCATGAACCTTGATAATTAACCAGTTGAAATTTTCACAGATGACGTATTTCTGTTGCCACTATAACAACAAATACTAAACATAATAAAAAATGTTGTTTTCGATGTTTTTATAGTTAATGGTACAGAACCCTTCGTGAACGAGTCCGACTCGCACTTGGCCGGTTTTTTAATATATCTGCAGTGTAAAAATATTGGATGTAAGTGTGAAAGACTAACACGAGTAAATACAATTTATCAGCCAATTGGGCTGGAAATGATTTCTAATTTTAAATACAAATATTCATTAGGATTTAAATACGACAACATTGAGAGTATTGCGAGGTTCACGTTCATTAAGCAAGCTAATCGAGTTAAAATCTTCGACTTTAATTGAATTCGCCTGGAGATAAAGTTTAATGTTATTTGTTTCGTTAATGTAGGTAGCATTGGAGAGTGTACGAGCAACGTTTTCAACCTGTCTCATCTTCTGATACTTATTACATCAATTACCGAATCCCAGCTTCAAACGACCATAAATTAATATCTATTTAGAGTTTAACATCAATTAGGGATTGTTTACGTTTTAGAGTTGAAATTCGGCAATATGCGGCAATATTAAGGTTGAATGATGACTTCTGTAACATTGCTAGCAGCAACTGGACACTAAGGGCACATGATTGAGTATGGTGAGTATGGTGTTTAATAAGAGAGAACTACGTCCAGCAGCGGATAAACAAAGGTGATGATAATTTTTAAAGTTCTTCCAACTCAGAACGAAGAGGACGATAATCTGTCCGACCCCGGAAATATATAATTTACTTTCTTGGAATCTTAAATTGGAACTAATCTTTAATTGGAAATCTTAGATTGGAAGCGGAAACTCGTGTGTTAGAATCACACGCCAGCACACTTTTATCACACGCCTTCAGGAATTAAGAGAAGCTAGATAAATTCCCGTTAATGTTGTTTTTGATGGTCTTAGTTGATCCTTTGGATGGCCCGGCATTATACTGGTACCGAGCTCATTGAGGAAGTTTCTCAGATATACTAGATTTGTTAGCTATGCTGAAGGAAGACTTTCTTCTTCGTAACTGATTACCGACTACGGTACACAGTGCACTGTATGTAAAGAGGGGTCACTCTCGGATTTATAGATGGCGTGAGAACGCGCCCCTGTTACTGTTCATGATGACACTGTATAATATGATACTCACATTATGATACAATCATATTTATTTCAAATATTTTAAACCTTTGACGTTCAGCTTTTTTCAACGTTCAACTTTTATGTACTACTGTAGCTATAAATTGCCATTAATTGTCCTCGTGCAATTTATGTTTGTAAAACGTCCTTATAACACAGGATAATGTTATCCTAAAGTGAGGGCAATGTTTATTAAAACAGAGAAATAAATAAAAAACTATGAGTGACTTCAGTCTCATAAAAATACTCGACAGTACAAGTAACACCGTTTTAACAATAACTTATTTCTATTAATAATTCTTGAATTTTAGAATATTTGAAGTTTAATAAACATGCATCATAGAGCCTGTCGCAGACAACGGTTGATCACAAAATCAACATTACACTAATTAAGCTCGGTAAACTTCACAAGCTTCGCTAAATTTCACGCCCAACGACTAGGCAAAGCCCCTTAATTGCAATAAGTATTGCATAAAGAACGTAAGAGAGTTATCGCTTACGTTTGACAATACGCTTTTTGATTTCAAGAAAGATTTTAATAGTTTATATAACTTTCTATTATTAGACCACAATAAAATGACAACAAACAACAACTGTGCATGTAAATACCATTTAAACATGACGAAGTCTAGTAGCGATTAAAATATACCTACATAGCATGCCTTCGCTGAATTAAATAAATAGTCTTGGTAGGTGTAAAGAGCTCGTTGGCTTACACTAGAAATTCATTCAAATACATTGCGTCTCTTATAGCGTACTCGTACTTTCTTCACATATAATGGTCTGTGCCTTTGAAAGTGATAGTATAAGTTCCAAACAACTTTATTTATCGGAGTCATATTACCCCATCAGCATTGTTTTTTGAGACGACGTTTTGTAGATTGGAGAATATATAGCGCATATTATACTTACCGAAAAGAACGGAACCGGCAGAAGAATGAATGACAGAATCAAGACAACTATTAGTTATCTATACCTTTAAACGAGCAATTCTTGTATACATATATATACATATATATAATTAAGTATGTGCGTAGAATGGGGGGCGAAAAATTGATCTAACTAGGTTTCATATTTAGAAAAGGTATTTTTATCCCTGTTTTCAAAAAATATCATTCGAATATGACGGTAAATTTAGCCGAAAGAAAAATATTATAATAGCTCGGTCGATAATCGGGCGGCACCGAAACAGAAGGCTGCGGTTCGTGTCACGATCATTTACACACTTATTTTTCTATACCAGATCATTCCCTTCTTTTTATTTTTTTTTATTTCCAAAATACACGATTTGCCATAAGCTCGTAGGTCTACGTTGCTAGTCAATTTTTATCAAATTTCAAAGAGTAAACCCCGGTTACCTCACTCAGTAGACGAATCGAGATTTATACTTTTTCTTTACTAAAGTAAATTGATTTGGCCGAGGTACTTCCCCGTTCAAGCTGGCCCTTTTCAGGCAACATCAGTAGCTATTGATCGGTTCCACCACTACAAGAAAATGTATAAATTTCCATAAAGTTGCTTCAAATCTCAAATACCAATCAAATTCTAAAAACAAATGACAAACCGGCGGGGTGCGATAGTATTCTTCAATTGTTAAAAACTAATTAAGATCAGAACTGAACAAATTCGAATCGTATCGAATGAAGCTGTGCTTGAAAAAGCGCCTTAGTGCGATGTGACAAAGTCGAGATTACCTCCTTGTGCAGCAGACGCACGTGGAAGGTGACTACGTCGCTCACGGGCTCCCCGCCTTCCGTCACGTAGTAGACGAGCAGCGAGCTTACGGGCGCCATGTCAGCTGTCACGGGGAACCTGGGGAATGGACAACGTTACACTTTGACAGGGTCGTCTTGTTAAGATGACTAATGGGAAATATACCGTGTCTATTGTTCAATTAACGGGGGAAACAATACAGAAAAAACGTTACGTTCCAAGCTGAATTCAAAATAAACAGGCGCTTGTGGATTTTGTATCGCATGCCATTTGGGAGGGGATTTTGTATGAAAAATCACTATTTCGACTTTGAGAGGTTGATTCGTTAATACGTTTGAGGAGTTTTACAAACACAAATTGGCACTGAAATTTTAATATAAACTTTAACTCTATGTGAGTCATTAATAACATTACGTGATTGACATGAAACATGATAGTGTACACGCATCTGAAATTTTCTGAGGTAGTTGATAAAGAAAAAATTTGCATAACTTTTACGTATAGCTGTAAAACATAGAACATTAGTCGAAAGTTTATTAGGTTTATTCATTGAACACTTATTTATTGCTACACAAAGCAGCATGTGAAACATTAATTAACGGCACTGCAATTAGTCTTTGGTCGCAGTTAATTTTCAATTACCCTTACGTACTGTGTAATCGATTCTGATTGCGTTAAATTTGTGTAACTCACTGGTAAATTGGTATATTTGTTAGAGGGTGGGCGTCGTGGTTTGGGCGTCAACCAGCGATCAGATATCAAAGTTTCCATTCTTAATGGCGATAATCGAAGAGTTGTTTTAACTCTCTAAGTATAAAAGTAACTGACTTACATCGGTGTTTTGAATAGGTTTAAAAGATGACAACGCAAGATATAAATGGTGGTATCGTTTTCTGTATCTGTCCTATAACTTGGAAGAGGTAAATGAGTTTGTTATTGTATTTTTAAGGAAGCCGAAAATAAGTTCGATCCAAGTTAAATCATCTCATGAGCTAACTAAACATCATAAAGTTTTTACGTATATATTATGATAGAAAAAAACTTACGAAGTTGACGCAATATTTTATTTTTTATTCAATAATATAAGGGACTGTAAGCCGAAGTTTCCCTTTATGATACGGGGCCTACCCACGAGTTAACTTAGATTAGTTTTAGAGTTGATATTTGAGCCAATTATAGTTCCGCCATCACAATAAAATATTACTTTTATAACAGATTTTTAAATAATAATACGTTGTTGCTTACCGTGAGATGATTTAACATCAAGTAAACCGCTCGCTTGTTAGCATCCACAAGTAATATGTCACTTCGTCGTATAATATTGACAAAACATAACAAAAAGCCGGCCAAATGCGAGTCGGCATCACTGATGAAAGGTTCTGTATGGGAACCCCACTTAAATTTTTTATTCTGTTTTTTAGTATTTGTTGTTGTACAAAAGAAAAATCATCAGCGAAAATTTCAACTGTCTAAATAAAACGGTTCATCAGATACAGCCTGGTGACAAACGGACAGACAGACTGCGAAGTCTTAGTAATAGGGTCCCATTTTACCCTTTGCGTACGGAACCCTAAAAATACATTTATTATCAAGTAACTAGAGTAAAAGATAATTAAATTTTTCTTGGAAAATAGACGAAAAAAAGAAAAACGGAGAAACCGTTGCGCGGATTTGAACCTGCGTCGCTCTAGTCACTGATCTAAACGGCTTATCTTCACACCGATGAAAACAAACCGAACGTCTTTTATCTAAATTTGTTTTTTATTACGTTTTTAAACAATGTTCGGCGCCATCTAGTGTATTTCCTTTACTGCAAACGACCACTTTTTCGTATAACATTTAAAAAATAAATATTCGAAAACTAGACTTTTCTAGAATTGATCACTAGAAAAGAACTACAAAAATTAATAGTCTTTGAAAAATTTCAGTAGTTATTAAAAAATGAAAAACAGACCAAAAAACATCTTTCCTCTTCCACATTTCGTGTTTGAAACGGTTATTTATTAAACATATTCACGTTATTTAATGTGGGGTACATTATGAAGGTGTATTGTTCGGAATGTGCAAAGTGTACACCACTTAATTTAACTATCTTATAGTAAATATGGTAGTCCTTTGAAGTGTTAATTTTAAGGAACGCGTTCAATTTTGTAAAGCTGCACAAAGTTTTTAATGAGAGCGCTGCAGCACTCCAAATTAGCTATTTATCAACATCAAGCCATAATTACAATTAAATAGACTATAATTGGTTCTGGCTTAACTATTGAAAGCAATTTAAGTTAAATAAGCGACAACGCCTGCACTTCAGTTATTTCATTAAAACTTAACCGCAGAGCAGAAGCATCGTTTAATAAAAAATTAACTAGTATTACGAATCTTGTAATATTCTTTCTTCCTTTTGAATTAAGTCTTGCTCTCATTATAATAAATCAGACCAATTCAAGGATTTTTTCGGATTTAATATTGATTTTAATTCACGACGACGTTGTTTTTTATTTAATTTGTTTTATATTTTCGTAAACACAAGAAATAATTATGTGAGCTTTGAATAAGAAGTTATTAGAACAAGATTATTTATACCATATATGCGTGCCCATTCGTGCAACAGCGAAAACTGTTGCGTGGAGGGCCACAGCGCGTGGCCCTATTAGCATATTAAATATTTGTATATATTGAATGAAATTTATATATTGAATATTTTTTACTTCTACTTCAAAAGTGGCAAGCGAGTAGGCAGTTCACCTGATATTAATTGATTATTACCACCTTTTAGACATTTATTGCATCATACATCATGAGCCTAAGCATTTTCGCTACAGTTTCTTCAAGAATATCTTTCGTGAGGCTCCTTTGTGACCTAGCTTATTGTTTCCGACCAAGCTGGTCCATTCGCGCAACGGAAGCTCTTAGGTAAGTGTAGTTGTTTAAACCCTTGTTTAACTACTTCTGTGTAGCCCCACACACCACTTTCTCTCTTATAAGAGATGTATTATCAAATACTAAATTCAAAACCACGCAATAGATAGCCTAAGTGCATTCCTATCATAACTTAATTCATATCTTAACTGTGGTAAGGATAAGCAACAGTATTAATATTTGTTGTTGAACGACTGGGCAGGTCCGTCCGGAGAAGTACCACGAACTCACAGAAGACCAGCGTGAAGTGGAAGAGTTATACTTGTGCGTTGCTTCTTGTGAGTGAGGTAGCCGGGGCCCACTTTATTATAAGGTAAGGTATCTGCTTCCCTATGGGTGTTAAAATTGTTAATGGGCAGCATAAACTTAACATCAGGTGAACCGACGGCTCGCTTGACATTCTTACTAAAACAAAATATTGAAAGCTTTCATTTATCTTTGTTTTAAAGGCAAACAGTAACCAAATTTCTGTGAGTTTCTAAGGTATACATCATTACAGAAATGAAATAAGCGTCATATTGCTAAGGAACTAAATTAGGGCGGATAAAGTAAATTCGCTTCGCAACCAGAAACCCCTAATAGTGACGAAAAGTTCAATGAGCTCCGCTTAGTTTAATGGGATAAGGTTAGTGCAACAAATGATCTCCGCAGCTTTTGATTGAGAAAGTTAGTATCACTGTGTCGTAACTAATAATCCCGAGTCGCTGAAATGGTCTAACTTAAGAGACAGTTATTTCTACTTCTCAGGAGTTAAGACAGAGTATTTCGTTACAGAGTGCCGTGAAGATTTCTCAGCACATTAATATATATATATCTATATATATCAGCTTAGTAAATAAATAGATAAATCAGCTTAGTAATATTTTAATTTAATCAATTTAAATTATGATAAAAAATAATAAAAAAAATTTTAAACTTGCTAAGAAGTACAAAGTTTTATATCCATTTTTTTGCTAATATAACCAGAAACATCGTATTTCTACGGTGTTGCTTATTTTTGAAAGTGCTTTTAAAATAGTTTCGTTATATTTTTAAAGCATTACTACATATAAGTGGATAATAACAGCACCAGTTTAAAGTTGACTTATTTCGAAACATGAAAATATTTGAATTTGAATGAATGAATGAATGAATGCATGAATTTCAATGAATATTTATTTAGTTTCAACAACAAACACAGTTATGTTAACAATTAAAAGAATATATATCTAAGACATGAAACCAAATAGGCAAACGGTACGATTTCTCGATTTTCAGTACATACAAAAAATAAAACTAAGATTAACACAAAGCGGGTACATTAATTTAAGTACAATACCTATTATAACACAAATCTGGTACATTATTCTAAAGACAGTAACACAATAACGACTAATGAAAATTAACATCTATACGTAAAAAGCAGTGAACAGAATAAAAAAGAAAAAAATAAGCCTTCTCTCTCCATAATTTCATACTGGCTTGTGAAAACCTTTACCCAGTTAGTTGATAATCGTTTTCCAGCAAAAAATTTCAAATTGAGAACGTTTTCTTCCCCACTGGTTCTGCGATCGGACCATTGCCACAGAAGCTTAATTATTAATTTATTCTTTATCTATTGAAATCTACCATTAACTTATTTTATTCTTTTTATCTTTTATTAACTGATGTACTCGTAATTATTTTCAGTCCTTGGACTATTAAATCGCTTGCCAGTAATTAGGACAACAAACACAACAACACATAAATAATAATAATAATAAATATTTTAGGACACATTTTTACACAACATTTTCTAGTCCCAAACTAAGCAACGCTTGTATTATGGGTACTAGAAAACTGATAAACATACTTAAACATACTTTTCTTTTGTAAATAAATACATATTATAGATATATAAACACCCAGACACTAGAAAAACATTATGTTCATCACACAATATTTTTCCAGTAGTGGGGATCGAACCCACACCCTCTGGCGCAGGCGGCAGGTACACTACCCACTACGCCATTCGGGTCGTCATCATAATAAATAGAATGTCAATCTATACAGCACAATATTCGATGTGATGATGCAATTTCACTAAATTAGGATGCATGCATTGCGGTTTTTGTAAGGGACACTGTGTCGGGTCATTTATCAAAACAACCACGATGTTATTCCCGTACTGACATGAGCGCATCGGTTTATGTTTTTATTTGTTT